CATTATGGCAGTGTAAGCCATATAGATTAGGAGTCTGGGCAAATGAGATTTGGGGTGTTGACGGCTTCTTCTCTGAACAATTATCAAAAATATTTCATTCATTTTTAATTAGGAAAAAGACATTTATCTACACACCCCTGACTTTGCTTTCTTCTTTGTATCTTTTTTTTTTTTTTTTTTTGAGACAAAGTCTCACTCTGTTGCCCAGGCTAAAGTGCTCTGGCATCAGCCTACCTCACAGCAACCTCAAACTCCTGGGTTCAAGCAATCCTTTTGCCTCAGCGTCTCGAGTAGCTGGGACTACAGGCATGCGCCACCATGCTTGGCTAATTTTTTTCTATATATTATTAGTTGGCCAATTAATTTCTATTTATAGTAGAGACGGGTCTCGCTCTTGCTCAGGCTGGTTTCGAACTCCTGACCTAGAGCAATCCGCCCGCCTCGGCCTCCCAGAGAGCTAGGATTACAGGCGTGAGCCACCGCGCCCGGCCTGGTTTTGAACTCTTGACCTTGACCGATCCTCTTGCCTCAGCCTTCCAGAGTGCTAGGATTATAGGTGTGAGCCACCATACCTGGCCTTCTTTTTATCTTTTGTCTCTGGACATTTCCAGCTATAATACTTTCCTTGCTTCTACCTGCTTTCATAGTAGCATTGGATTTTTTTCTTTTCCCTACTGATACATTAAAAAAACTCTCTGTAGCCATCCAAATCATTATTAGTATAAATACTGTCATAACTAATTTAAATATAGTTCAGCTTTATCAGTTTAAAATGAGGTAATTGAGGCCTACAGAGAGTAAAATTTGCCAAAAAAGGAAAGAACTAATATTTTTATAGTGCCCCAACTATAAACCAGACACTGTCTTTTCACATTTCAGTTCTTTGAAATTTTTCGTTGTCCCCATTATGCAGAGGCTCAGGGTCCAATTCTGTAAGGCTAGTTATGGTGGAGGTAGGATAAAAATCCAGGTCTCTTGCAACAGTCCATGGTCTTTTCCACTCCTTTCAACAAACGTTACGAACTCACCTAGGAAGGGATTGGGGCTCTGTGTTTTCTTTTCATATGGTATTTGGTGTTTGTGAGAATCAATAGTTTGCTTTTCCAAGTTTCTTAAATGAGATCCAGAAAAATGAAACTAAGCATGGTGATGGCAAGAAAAATTACAGACATACTGTGTTATGGTATGTCTGTTCATTAGTTGAGTAAACTAGGTGCTTAAAATATGTTTGCCTTATGTTTGTGAACTCTTATTGTTTTATCCAAACACTTAATTTAATTAAACTTTTGATGAGTGCTTTCATGAAGCAAGACACCTTTTCTTTAGCCTGTTGATACCTGAACCGTTGCTGAATGTGATGGCTGAGGGGTAATTGGATACCCTAAGAGTCGCTTTTCAAATTGTTTTTCAAAGATCTTTCTTTTCTAGAATTCCTAAGTGATACTTGTTTCCCATTTCACCATGTAATTATCTAGGTTTTAACATTTGTACTTTTGATATCATCATATTCTTTATAAATTTTTTTTTTTTAGGAACCAGAGCTGACCTTGGCAGATATCTAGACAAAGGCAATATTTTTCTCTACCTACTAATCCTCCCCCTTCTTCACCTTTCCTTTCTGTATCTTTACCTCCTCCATATCCCCCCTATGTCTTCTTCTCTTCTTCCCTCTTTTTTCCAATTTTGTCTCAGCATGTAGAAAGATATAAAATTAGAATGATGGTAGGAGGAAATATATGATTTTCTGTAAAGTTACTATTTGGTGATAGGACTATGAAACATGTTTAGTTTCTAAGATAACTAGTTCAAAATACCTGGGATTCCAACAGACCTGGGTTAGAATCCTGGTTTATAAAAGTGATAGAGTATCAGTGAATATAAGCAGAAAGGAAAAGTACTGTTCTCTTTCATACTCCTCAGAGACAGTCACTGTTAATGGTTTTCATGTATCCTCCTAAATATCTGCTGTATGCATATATAATATAGCATTAGCTATGTTAATTTCAAATTTATAACATGTTCATTTTCCTTTTATAACAGCTTTCAGTAGAAACATTTTCAGAAAACATCTAAAGAATATTCAATTCCATTTTAATTTGCTTCATATTACTAAATTCCAGTACCTCAGTTCCTTATTTCTGCTTTTTTCTTTTTAATCTTATTACCACATTCAGGACACTGCTCCCTAGTTTGTTTTTTTAAATCAATCTTGACCTCTATAATGGCTACACTTCCGATAAAGGTCTGGTAACAAGAATCTACTAGAACTCGAAAGAATTAACAAGAAAAAATCAAACAACCCCATTAAGAAATGGGCAATGGAAACGAACAGAAACTTTTCCAAAGAAGACAGAATAATGGCCTGCAAGCATATAAAAAATGCTCAACATCTCTAATCATTAGAGAAATGCAAATCAAAACTACAATGAGATATCACCTAACCCCAGTGAGATTGGCCAGTATCAAGAAATCCCAAAACAACAAATGCTGGCGAGGATGTGGAGAGACAGGAACACTCTTACACTGCTGGTGGGACTGAAAATTAGTGCAACCTCTGTGGAAAAGAATTTGGAGATACCTCAAATAGCTAAAAATAGAAATACCATTCGACCCAGCAATTGCATTACCCAAAAGAACATAAGACATTCTGTTATAAAGACATCTGCACCCAAATGTTTATGGCAGCACAATTCACTATTGCAAGGACGTGGAAACAACCCAAGTGCCTATCATTTCATGGCTGGATTATTAAAATTTGGTATATGTTTATAATGGGATATTGCTCAATTCTAAGAAATGACAGCGAGCTCGCACCACTTATATTATCCTAGATTGAATTTAAGCCCATTATCCAAAGTGAGGTGACACAAGATCAGACAAATGGGCTCCACATCTACTCACCATCAAATTGGTACTGACTGATTATCATTATGGTGCTCAAAGGGTAGTGGTGTTCACCAGAGATTTGGGGGCTTGGAGGGTAGACCCACATCTGAGGGATGTGGCGAACAGTGTGGAGGGGAAAGGCATACCTCTAACCCTTTCTAAGTAAAGACAGAGTTATAAAGACAAAGTTATATATCTAACCAAAATGTTAAAAAAAAAACCCAAAAAAAACATTTATTGGGTGTCAGACAGGTGGTAGGGGGGAGGAGGGGATGGGTATACATATATATATATATATACACACACACACACACACACACACATTATAATTGCGATATGCATTGTCAGGGGGATGGAAATACTTGAAGCTCTGACTCGAGAGGGAAGAGAAGGCAAGAGCAATGTATATAACCTTAACATTTGTACCCCCCATATTATGCTGAAATTAAAAAAAAGATAAGAAAGGAAAACTAAGTTAGATAAGAAAATAGGTACTAGAGGTGGAGAAGATAGAAAATGATATTTGTATTTTATGGTTTCAGTTTTCTCAAGGAGGTAATTGGCTAGAAATTCTGCCAGGAATGGTGATGGTCGCAGTAATTAGGAATTAAAGCTTGTGGGAAGAAGATTTAGAATTGTCCTTGCTGTCATGAGGAAGGAGTGTTATAAGACATTGGTATAGGGTTGCCAGACCTGTAGTAGAAGATACAGGATAACTTTATAGAGGGCAAAGTGCTTGATTTTCTGGGACTAGGAATAGAAAAAGCTGACTGTGTAGGTCAGTTCTGATTGGGCAAGAGTGCACTAGAGGCTTATGGTATTCAGGGCATCTCTGGGAATAATAACAAAAGCATTGATAAAATTGCTTACTGTAGCCAGGCATCAGAGAATGAACTTCACATTCTCAACATGGACAAAACTATTGCTTACAAAATGTAAATCAGGATTTCAGAATCTCTCTTATAATATGATGGAAACATGTTTTTCCCTCCTTGAAACAGATCATCACTTAAGAGCAAGGTTGAATTGCTGTATAACTATTCACACATTAATTATCTTGGTATTTCTAAGTATCTACCAACAAAGCATTATTTGAGTATATATCCTTTTGTTTCCTTAGAATGTTAGGCAGTTTTCTAAACACGCAAACACTGGAGACATTGGGTGAAGAGAGGAAGGGAAAGGACAGTTAGGAATAGCTGAAATTTATTAATAGAAGTAGCCAAAATATAATATTATACAGTATTTGTTCTCAATTGAAGACATTATCTGATTAAAATCCTTGTTCTAGTAGACAAATGTTACTACTGAGCTTCTTTTAATATTTTGTATGGCATTAAAAAAATAATGTAATTTTCTTCCCGATTTTTCACAGAGAACTATAGTTGAACTTGGCCATGTGATTTAATTTTGTGTAAAGAAATAGCTATCAAATGTATGTGACTTGGTCAAGTCTGCCAAGTTATATGTGTCAGAGGTAAAATAGAAACTTTGGAAAACATGTTATTTGTTTTTTAATTTTGCTAGCACAGCTTTGGAAATAATTCTTGATCCATGACCCTAAGTCTTGAGAAGATGGTTCTTCTTTTCCCCAATCTAAGTATCACTTCTTTTCTTACTCTGTGATGATTGACAGTAGAATTGTGTTTCTTTCAGGGAAGAGCTTGACTCTAGCTGCAAGCAATCCTCCAGCCTCAGCCTCCTGAGCAGCTGGGACTACAGATATGCACCACCATGGCCAGCTAATTTTTTTTATTTTTGTAGAGACGGAGTCTTGCTATTTGCCCAGGCTGGTCTTGAACTCCTGGCCTCAAGTGATCCTCCTACCTTAGTCTCCCAAAGTGTTAGGATTACAGGTGTAAGGCACTGTGCTAGTGAGAGTTTATATTTCTAAGAAATTCCAAGGTGATGCTATTATAATACTGCTAGTCCTGAAACTATACTTTGAGAACCACTGCAATAACAATATTGATTCTAGAAATCTGAGACAGCTAAATCTAATCTGTGCTGAATGAACACTGAGTTGCATGTAATTCAAACAGAGTTGTACCTATTTAATGGGTACCAGCAATGATCATTTAATGTAGTGTTGTCTTTTCTTTTTCTTTTCATAGATTGGAGCATACGATCAACAAATATGGGAAAAATCTGTTGAACAAAGAGAAATCAAGGTAACAAGTTTATTTCATTTTATCCTGAAACATACTTCTTTGAATTGATTATTAATCACATTTTATGTAATATTTTTTCATATATATTTAAGGTATAAAGTAATATTCATGTAAACTTTTAAATAAAGAGGTAAGCTCTTTTAGGATGGCATAGTCAATGTGTCTTCTGATTTTTTTTCTTTTGCTTTTTAGCATCTTTCTATTCTTTTTAAATTTAATTTCTAATTATTATTTTTTGTCAGCTTTTTTCCCCTTTCACTTGTCACCTTATACTTCTAGTTTGCTTTTCCTCCCTTTTGATGCTGTCCTTGTTCTGTACAGTTTATTAAACTGGTAAGTGTTTCAGGATTTTTCCCACCTGAGTGATCCTGTGCAAATGCTGCTCTGCTTAATTGAGATCTGCTTTCTGATGCTACTAACAGAATGTCTTGGACTCAAAAAGAGTCGCTGAAGAGTTGGTCATTTTTAAAAAGAATTTAGGAAAGTAAAGCATTAATTAAAATATTTTTGTAGTAGGTATTTTCTTCCTGAACATGTAATCACCTCTCTTATGCCAAAAAGATATTCTCATGGGCTAACTTGCTAGCATGAAAACTACTTTTAAACTAAATTTATTTTTTCTCAGCACTCTTTTTTGGTAATAAGATTTATATTTTTCATTTGCATAGATACTAATCAGTGTGTTCCTGCACGAGCTAAATTTAATTTGGGCCCAGAGAATGTTACTTTAGTTACTTGACATTTCCTATTTTGAATAGAAAGGTTTACGTTAAATTGAAAAGATTGAAAACCAGTGTCTATGGTTACTAAAAAATCTGTTAGTGTTTAGACAACTTAGTTGTCTATAATAAAGAGCAAGATTCTTTGCCATTTATCAATTTTAGTCTTAAAACTATTTTTATACATTAGTACATTTAACAAAGTTGTGGTATGCCTTAAATATAGGATTAATTTGTGGGGACAGAAAGGTGAAATACATTATACTTTTATAGGTGAGATGCATGATTACAAATTAGATAAATTCAAGTAAGAGGTATGTTGTAAGTTTCTCTTGGAGAGTGCAGGGAAAGACAGCGCTGGGAAGGTTAGGAAAGACTTCATAGAGGAAGTGGTTCATGAACTGAGTTTGACGGACTTTGGGGAGAAGAATGAGGAAGACATTCTGGACGGAAGGAAAGCGTATACAAATATGCATAAAAGAAGGAAGGTGTATGACTAAGTCAGAAATCCTCAAAGAGTTTGATTTGGTAATAGGTTAGATGGAGGAAGATTAGGGTGGTTAAGAGTAAAGCTAGAAAGGAAAATGGAAGTCAGATTATGAAGGGTTTGACTGCCTTACCAAGATTTTAGACATAATCTAGAAAACAATGAAAGAGACATTAGAAGATTTTAAGCAGAAAATTAAATTTATATTTGCACAAATTCACTAAGGCAGCACTAGATATAATACTAGAAGGGGAACAGATTTGGAATTTTGTTTTAGAAATATCCAGTTGGTTCTTGAGAGAGAGATTTGGGAGTCCTCAATTTATTATATAGAGTGTGTATATGTATATGTGTGTTATATATAATATACATATTATATAGATGTAACCATAGGGATGAATAGATTTCCATTGAAGGATGAAAGAAAAGGGCTGAGAACAGAACATTGGGAAACACCAACACTTAATGAATAGGCAAAGAAAGAGATGCAAGTAAAGAAGGAAAGAAGGAGATTTATGAAAAAATAGTATGAAGAGGGTATTAAGAGAGTTGGGGATAGTCAAGCAGGTAAAGAACAGCAGAGGGGTCTAGTAAGAGGCCATAAAGCCTTTTATACTCTGACAGTTAGAAAGCCTGTAATTCACTAGACAAAAGACATTAAGTACCTTGAGAAGTTATGTTATCAGTTGACACATTTGGAAGTTTTTGAAATTTAAAAACCTCAAAAAATATATACATAAATAATTTTTTAGTTTTAGGGATCCATTCATCACAAACTACTACGTTACATATGTAATTTCTTCTTTTTTAAAAGAACTATTTTAATGTCTAAATATAAGTTAGGGTAAGGAAGGATTATATTAATTGCTACTTGGTGCCACTGACAGGATATTAGTGAAGGTGATTTTTATAACTTCATTCTGAAATATGTTCCCTTTAAAGATAACTTTGTAATTGTAATTGAAGAATTACAAACAGCATTAAAACTTACTCTTTGTTATTATGAATGAAGAGAGTCAATTTGTTGACAAGCCTAAAAGCATGTTCCATTTTTGCTAAATAGTCTAGTGGAGGCAATTTATAGTGTCAAATAATTTTATATTTATTCTAAGGAAGGTAGAGAGGTGCATAACTGTGATGTCTTAATGTTAATATTTGATAAAAAACCTAAATACTCCATCTTTTGTTTAGAGAACATTGTACCAAATGTATTGAATTCATCCCATGTAATAATCGATTCTCTCATTAGTTGTCAAAGTGGTGACAAATTAACCAAAGAAAGATATGAAAATATATTTCTTGGAAATTTCTCTTTTTCAAATTAAAGACCCATAGTTGATATTGCTAACGTGTAAAATCTTTGTAATTTGGAAATTATTTTTTCTTAAACATTTTAGAAATTATAACTAAAAACTTTGTTTCATTTTCTGATCACCTTCACCAAAATTTAAAAATAAATCTGGAAGTTTTCCCTGTTTTATTACCTATTACACTTTCAAAACTTCACCAAAAAGCTTATGAAGTGATTATAGAAGAAAAAGGGATTGGGGGAACTAAACAGGAATTCTAGAAAGTGAAACTAACGTTTATGTGCTTTGGTAGAGTCTAAGTATACAATAGTTTCGTGCACAGAAAGTCTACGTCACTGAACAGATGTACTTTGTAAACTTAAACAGCCCTTTTCATTTTTTGGCTCAGCATTATCTGTGTACTTAGAGATTTTTTTAAAAATATAAAACTTCATACTACTGCATTTGAGTCATTTCACTATAGGAATGTACTATAAAAGTTTAAATGTATATTGAATAAAGAAAATATCATTTTGATTCTTGGGGATTTATTGCATTTTTCTACTTGTTTCTACTTTCTATTTTGTGCATAAATCAGTAGTTTCTTACTTTTTTAAAAACTAGTTTTCATTTTGTATTTGTTCATTTAAACTTTTTGAAAGCCCATGGTAGTACTGAAAGCTATGCTTACTTGTGTGAATGTAGTTTACCTCTAACCAAGTTAAAATTTTCCAACTTAAAAATCTACTTAGTTAAAATTAGATTTTATGAATGCTCATATCTTGGTGCTAATGTCTTTTAGTAAGTAAAATCATTAATATTAAATTTATCAGTGAAATTTTTCTGCTTTTCTTTTTTTAAACTCTTTAAATATTCTGATAAGGCTACCTTGAAACAAGGAAAAATGTTGCCAAAACTGGCAATTATGATTTGGCTGTACAATATAGTTCAAAATAAATGTTTTAATAGTATATAAAATAAGAAATGAACCACATATAAACAAGGTCAAGTAAAAGGAGCATTTTGAAAACCAACAGTTGCATAAATCAAGACAATTCGTTGTTTCTCTTATTATAAAGACTTTAGTTCTTAAAAGAATCCTAATAAAAATTTTAGGTATACAGCAGTAAATTAAGCTTCAGATTAGTCAGAAAACATTGACAATAAAGTTATTTTCAAGTTGTTAGAGAAACAATTATAAAAGAAATAAAATGTTACTATTTTCAAATTTTTGACTCTAATAAAGGTAAAATGCCATTATAATCAACTTTATACCGAAGCAAAATAGTACTTTATTAACAAAATTTTGTTTAAATGTATGTTTTATTAGAATTGCCTTTCAAGGTGTGGTACGGTGGCTCATGCTTATAATTCTAGCACTTTGGGAGGCTAAGGTAGGAGGATTACTTGAGGCCAGGAATTTGAGACCAGCCTGAGCAAGAGTAAAACCCCGTCTCTACAAAAAATAGAAAAATTAGCTGGACGTGGTGGCGTAAGCCTATAGTCCCGGGTACTTGGAAGGCTAAGGCTAAGGCAGGAGGATCCCTTGAGCCCAGGAGTTTGAGGTTGCAGTGAGCCATGATGATGCCACTGCACACTAGCCCAGGCAACAGAGGGAGACTGTCCAAAAAAAGAAAAAAGGAAAAAAAGAATTGGCTTTCTAATTTGCAAAAGCATGGAAATGATTTATAATCTCTCAGCTACTCTATAGTGATATTAAAATGGGAAATACAGTACAAATAAGTTGATTCTCATTGTTTGTGGTAGCTATGTTCTATGAAGTCACCATGAACACTGAATTAGCAAATACTGAACCATTGCTGCTAAGGGAAATACAGAGTTAGATAACCTGTGAGCCCTTGGTCACAGTACTTTTGTCGACCTATCAGTACATAACCTTGTTTTATATGTGTTTCTGTTTAAAAACACCTATTCAATATATATTGTTGATTGATTAACAATGAACTCATGACCAGCAGCACCATAGATCATGTCTGAACAGAGGTTATCTAACACATATTTTCTCCATAAGGCACACCACAGTCTTCTTGTACATAGGAACACTAGATATCACTTATACTCGAGGGCCATCTTAAACAACAAAATTGCCTACTAATGTGAAAAACATGATACTAAATGGACTGTGAAAAGGATACTTGTTTACAGTAATAAGAGCCAAAACAATAAGGTAAAGCATTGCCTCTTGTTCAGCCTCAGCTGTGGGAAGGCACAAGTTGAGTGACTAAACTTTTTTTTGCCACTCTATGTATGTCTGTAAATGAGGGCAAAAGCACTCTGACTAATGATTTGGGGATACAGCTAAATTTTAGCAAGTAGGCACATTTGCACATATGAGGATCAACTTTATGTAAAAATTATCATTGCTGTGTCTTCAACCCTGACCCTTTCTTTCTCCTTCATTTTTATTTTTGTATCTTTGGGTACTTCAGAAGGACAGACTATCTGAAGGAGTTCAAAGGTTAATTGCATCTTTGTTTTAGGGTACTTTTGGTTTAGACGTCTCAGTTAATTCTGACCTCAAATGTTGTCCTCTTCTTTGTTTTAGATGCAAGCAGTACTTAATCAGATTTTTACTTTAGGAGGTCGTTACCTGGATTAGAACCAAAGAAAGGATTTACTGCATAGTTACTTACCACACACACACACACACACACACACACACACACACACACACACACACACCTTGTTTTTTTTTTTTTTTGAGACAGTCTTGAGTCTTGTTCTATTGCCTGGGCTAGAGTACAGTGGCATCATCGTAGCCCACTGCAACCTCAAACTCCTGGGCCCTAGTGATCCTCCTGCCTCAGCCTCCCAAATAGCTGGGATAACAGGTGCACACCACCATGTGTGGCTAATTTTGCAGATTTTTGTAGAGTCAAGGTCTTGCTGTATTGACCAGGTTGGTCCCAAACTTCTGGACTCAAGGTCCTACCATCGTAGCCTCTCAGAGTGCTAGGACAACAGATGTGAGCCACTGTACCTGGCCTACTTGCTTAATTTAATGAATAATAAGCAAATCATCTAAACACTTGTGTCATCTCTCAACATTTGGCTCCAGAGGAGTTTAGTTTAAGCTCTTCTAATTCTTAACATCCTAGTCTTAAGTAATAAAATAGCTTATTTTTCCATAATTTTTTTTACCCACTAATTTTGATTTCCACCTTGTACTTCCACTCCGTACACTGATGGCAGAAACTTAATTTTAGTCAGTATTCAATAATTTCAAATTTAAATTCAATTCATAATAACTCCTCTTCCTCCCCCTCCTCCTTGTTATGGTATCTAAGTTCTGAGGCGATGAGGTGGCATTGCATTCTGATCATTGGTTGGCATGTGAACATAGTGGCAACCCTGAGATGTGCATCATTCTGGCTCTCAGCTGATTGGTACCTGCTGAGAAGTCTGCATCCCCATCTGGACCTCAGCTCTGTGATTTACTGCTTTCTGCAATAACACCCCCAGCATCACACTTTGAGGGCCCTTGGGGGCCACTGCTCCACGAGCCAGCCTCAGCACTCTCCTAATGCCTATCTGGGGCCAGTGCAATCCTCTGGACCCTCTCAGGCTGAATACCTGAGTTTGCTTGATAATGATAGTCTTTGTATTATGATTTTACTGTTAATAATAAACAGGCCTCGCATGTTACACATATCCCTAAACATATCCTCTAGGAAAGTAATCTGATTTATTACAACACTATATGTTCCATTTGCAACAAATGTATAATGTGTTACATTATTGTGTATATTATTACTTAATTTTATTTAAATTGAAATGTTTAGGAGTTGATTATTTTCTGCTATTCTGGATTTTTAAAATTATATATGTATATATAATTTCAGTACTTCTTTTAATATAGGGGTTAAGGAATAAACCAAAGAAAACAGCTCATGTGAAACCAGACCTCATAGATGTTGATCTTGTAAGAGGTGAGTGTTGGACAAATAAATGCTTAATACAAGTAGACATTGACCTTGATGAAACAATTCAAAATAGACTATATATATATATATATATTTGCAGCAATAAAAGCATTTTGAGCCTAAATGAAGGCAGTGATAATATAAAAAATAGAGTGGAAACATTTAAATATTACTGATTAGTCTTTCCTCACATTAAAGATCATTCTAAGAAATAAATGTAAAAGAGTAACAGCTCATATTTGCTTAGCAAACTATAGGACTTGGTTATAAAAATTAAAGTGGTCGGCCGGGCGCGGTGGCTCAAGCCTGTAATCCTAGCACTCTGGGAGTCCGAGGCGGGCGGATTGCTCAAGGTCAGGAGTTCGAAACCAGCCTGAGCAAGAGCAAGACCCCGTCTCTACTATAAATAGAAAAAAATTAATTGGCCAACTAATATATATATATATATAAAAATTAGCCAGGCATGGTGGTGCATGCCTGTAGTCCCAGCTACTCGGGAGGCTGAGGCAGAAGGATTGCTTGAGCCCAGGAGTTTGAGGTTGCTGTGAGCTAGGCTGATGCCACGGCACTCACTCTAGCCTGGGCAACAAGTGAGATTCTGTCTCAAAAAAAAAAAAAAAAAAAATTAAAGTGGTAATTTGTAATTCTAAACTAGAACTGACATTTGACTATTGTCCTAAATTCATAAAATATGTGGGGGAAGTTCTGCTGTTAATTTCAATTAATAGTGTTTTTCAAAGTGCCCGAGTTAATATGATAAATGAAGGATGTTTTTAAAAGTATCTATTACTTTTGGACATTTCTCACTCATAGCATAGTACAGAATAACATTATATGTGTTGTTGTTTTTCCAAACATTAATTTTTTATTTGAGGAAATTAAAGACTAATACCTTAATATACTCTGAATTGAAATTTTTAGAAGTTGATTCTTTTCTGCTACTCTAAATTTAAAAAATATCTATCTATATATATATCATTTATTTTACTTTTTTCCAGGATCTGCATTTGCTAAGGCTAAGCCTGAAAGTCCTTGGACTTCTCTGACTAGAAAGGGAATTGTTCGAGTTGTGTTTTTTCCCTTTTTCTTCCGGTGGTGGTTACAAGTAACATCAAAGGTCATCTTTTTCTGGCTTCTTGTACTTTATCTTCTTCAAGGTATAATTGAGTGATGGAAATGCATTTTGCTTTTAACTTTCAGGATGTTATATTTTTAGGGTTACTAAGATGTTGTTTTAAACATATACTGACAACTACTGAGTATGAAGTAAGTATGAGTATGTTAATAAGAGACAAAAACTGGCTTGGTAATAAAAATGTTTAAGAAAACAAAGCAGTTGTTTTCCAATATAATTTTATGAAAATTTGAGTCTGTAGATAGCTAAAGAAAAATACAAATTGAGAGGATTTTTAATAATTGGGGAAAAAAAATCTTCAAAATGTATTCCCCACACATACATACACACCAGTCTTTTTTTTTTTAAATACAAACTATACAGAGTTATTTTTTATGCCTTAGAATTGGCATTTATGCCTTTTTTCTGTACCTTTTGCTACTGTGATCTGAGCTGTCCTCATTCTATGGAAATTGTTTCTATACACCATGCACTCTTCTATGTGCATTCTGGATCTCGTTTAATTCTCAGAGCCGAATGAAATATAGGTACTATTTTTTTTGAGACACAGTGAGACCCAGCTAGAGTGCTGTGGCATCATCCTACCTCACTACAACCTCAAACTCCTGGGGTCAAACGATCCTCCTGCCTCAGCCTCCCCAATAGCTGGGATTACAGGTGTACACCACTACACCCAGCTAATTTTTCTATTTTTAGTAGAGACGCTATCTCTCTCAGGCTGGTCTCAAACTCCTGAGCTCAAGCAATCCTCCTGCCTTGGCCTCCCAGAGTGCTAAGATTATAGGTGTGAGCCACTATGCCTGGCCTAGCTACTATTATTATGCCTACCTTATAAACGTAGGACCTGAAAGGCCTGAGGGACCAAAGCCACGCAGTCACCAAGTGTGGTAAAGCCCAGTTTCAAGTCTAACCAAGGTGACCATATGTCCTAATTTGCCTTGGACTGTCCAAGTTTACTCATGTCATCCTGGTGCTTGTAACAGCCCCCCTCTCATGCTCAGAAGTGTCCTGGTTTAGACGATAAATTACACGGTCACCTTAATACCCATATATACCCATCTCTTTGATTTAATTGTTATTAACATTTGGGGATGTTTACTTAATCTGTTTTGTTAAAGTAAATTATATATATCAAGACATTGTACCCCTGAATATATCAATATGAATACATCTATTCAAAATATGCATATTTTGCATGACCATATTATAATGATTGTACTTAACAAAATGATCAAAAATCTTCTAATATTCAAATTTTCCACTTGTTTCAAAACAGAATTAGGTACTCCTAGGCCCTGGATTCAGGCATGGCTGGATCTAGAGGCTCAGGTGACACTTCAACTTTTTATGCTGTTGACTCTGCTTTCCTTGCCAGTCACACTCTTAGGTTGGCTCTTTCTGAATGGTGGCTGAGATGGCCTCTGGCAATTTCATATCTTTAGTGATTGTCATCTAGGAGAAAGGCCTTCAGGCACCTGTATTAGTCCCTGGAAAAGATTCTGATTGGCCCTCCTTAGGTCACTTACCCATCTTTTTATTAGCTACTATGCTCAGAGTTATTAAGACTATGGCAAGCCTAGATTACATGTCTATCTCTGAGATAGAAGAAATAAGAACATTTGGTAGACAGAAGGGAGACTCCTAAAAGGTTAAGAGAGTTTATATATAGAAAGTCTAAGGGATGCCGAGCAGCCAAAAACAAGATTGCCCTTTCATGTAGTAATACTGGTGAGCATTGATGGGTGGTTTCCCTGGAAAATATGCCTAAGTAAATTTACACTGTTAATTCTAAGGAGATAGACCTCTATTAATAAGAAGCTCTTTATAGCCTCATTATACTTACCATAAGACTTCCTTCTTTATAAAACAAAGAAATAAATGTACTTGAAATTAGTGTGGTTCTTTCAACTGTCTATGATCTTACCCTTAGATTCATATGCATCTAATTTTCATTGCATTGTTGAGGTGTGTACTTTAGAGACTGTGTTGGTTATCATCTTTTTCCTCTCTCTCTTTTTGGAGACACAGTCTTGCTCTGTTGCCCAAGATAGCATGCAGTGGCATGATCATAGTTTACTGCAACCTCAAACTCCTAGGTTCAAGCAGTCCTCCTGCCTCAATCTCCCAAGCATCTGGGATTACAGGCACATGCCACTATACCGAGCTGAGTTTTCTATTTTTTGTAGAGACAGTATCTCACTATGTTGCTCAGGCTGGTCTTGAACTCATGGCCTCAAGTGATCCTCCTGCCTCTGCCTGCCAAAGTGCTAGAATTATAGGCGTGAGCCACCATGCCTGGCCTATGTTGATTATCATCTTGCTCCAAGGGTTTGTTACTAAATATACCATGGTTAGGCAAACAGTAAAATCGTCTGAAAGAGCTTGTCTGGAGTACATTTTAAACTCATTTAAATTTAAAAAAATAATCTGGCAAGAAGTAATATAAAAACAATTTAAAAAGTTTTGAAGAAGTGACTGTCAGATCTATAATTAAGCATATTTTTTTTCCCCTTTTTGTAGTTGCTGCAATAGTGTTATTCTGTTCCGCTTCTAGCCCACATAGCATACCTCTGACAGAAGTGATTGGGCCAATATGGCTGATGCTGCTCCTGGGAACTGTGCACTGCCAGATTGTTTCAACAAGAACCCCTAAACCTCCTCTAAGTACAGGGGGTAAACGAAGAAGGTACTGTCTGTCTAAAAGTGATCTTTTTGTAGATTTCCATAATTTGAATCCAGTATTATTTTTGACTGCTCTTACCTTCATGGAGTAAAGTTTTATCTCATGAAGTTGCCCTTTCAAATAAAGCAGAGCTTCAGAATCAATAACCAAGTGATTTAGCTTTTGTATTTGCCTCACGGCCATTTTGAGACCACATGTCTGTTTTTTTGTTTTTTCCTTGAAGCTTATTTCTAGTCACCTGATGTCAATGTAGGGAATATACATTAGCTAGAATTGTTAATAATTCCCAATACTTATAAACCTTGTGTTCTAAGATGCTTTGGCAAAAGCAAGAGCCAAGAAGAAATTTCAGCTAAACTATTTATTAAATACTATTTGAAGCTGTTTAATATTACCCTTTGATTAAGTAAACATAGCAAGTCTCACTGGCCACTCAGTACAATGGAGTTCTGTTTTAAGAGTCTTTTGGAACAATTCCTCTTTTGAATATTGTTGCTAAGAGATTGTGACGTTTGCAGTTTTTGGGTGTTGAGATTTAAGCGCATCTCATTTTTTAAAAGATAATACCTACATTAGATAAACAGCATTGCTAATCAGTTAGATTATAATTCTCTCCAGTCTGAATTTTCTTCTTTCTTCATCTGCAGATAAGTGGCATTCAAATAGGGAAGAAATGTGATCCTTACAATCTTCTGTCCACTGACCTGTCAGTATGAGCAGGGAACAATACCTTAACATTTATAGAAATTGGTCTTGAATATGCACCATGATATTTGGATTAAATACTATAAAGTAATCTAAATTTTATTATGTATTAAATAAAGTTCCTGTGTTTATATTTTTCAAAATTTTGATCGTACTACTGAGAAAATGGTTAAAATTTTAAAGTTGCCTTCCACTCTTAATCTCTTCTTATAAAGGAAATTAAGAAAAGCAGCCCATTTGGAAGTACATAGGGAAGGAGATGGTTCTAGTACCACAGATAACACACAGGAGGGAGCAGTTCAGAGCCATGGTACAAGCACCTCTTACAGCGTTGGCGCTGTCTTCAGAGATCTCTGGCATGCTGCTTTCTTTTTATCAGGGTTTGTATTTATTTAAGGCTATATATGGCATAGAGATGCACTATCCCTTTTCTGGCACTTCAGTCTCAGGTACTGAATATTAATTACTTTAAATATGACAGTCTCATTATGGATTTTGTTTTGATAAATTATACTATAGATAATGAAAATACAGACAACATAAAAATTTACTTTGGGTTATGTGTAAATACATTTGTATAAGAATAAATATATATACACTACCAAAATATATTTAGTTAGGATTTCTTGATTTTTTTTTTTTGAGCCAGAGTCTTAATTCTGTCCCCTGGGCTAGAGTGCCGTGGCATCAGCCTAGCTCACAGCAACCTCAAACTCCTGGGCTCAAGCGATCCTTCTGCCTCAGCCTCCCAAGTAGCTGGGACTACAGGCATGCGCCATGGTGCCCAGCTAATTTCTTCTATATATTTTTAGTTGTCTGGCTAATTTCTTTCTATTTTTAGTAGAGATAGGGTGTTGCTCTTGCTCAGGCTGGTCTCTCGAACTCCTGAGCTCAAATGATCCGCCCACCTCGGCCTCCCAGAGTGCTAGAATTACAGGTGTGAGCCACCACGACTGCCCGATTTCTTGATTCTGATTTCTTTTATATTTAAGTACTATTTTACTTCTGTTAATTGGTTAACTTATTTTTTATCTGCATTATAGATAAAAATTGGCTAATATAGCATGTGAGTTGTATGAAATTTTGTTCTTCTAAGTTCCTGCCTCAGTTAAACAAATTTATCTGAAATAAAACATATAGGCATTGTTATTGAAATGAATAAAATGTATACTTCAGTATGAAATTCTACTTTTTTACACTGGGCTTTTTGTATAGTTTGTGCTATCAAACCAAATAGGAATATAGTTACAGCAAACTTCAAAAATAAATTAAACCTAACTCAATCTTATTATTATTTTGGATATTTAATTCAAAACATTTAAGAGTTATGTTACTAGTTTACATATACTTACAATACTTTTGAACAGTTAAAAAATATCAAAATATTAAGTGATAAAAGGTACTAAATAAATGAAGAAAAGGGATACTGCAAATAACTATTCTGTCACTTTGTTAACTCCTTCACTAATATATTTTGTCAATTTGTGATTGTGCTCTTAGATAAAGTTTATCATACATTATACAACTAAGCAATTATATCATGGGCATATTTTCATTGATTGTAATTTTGGTGAAAGTTTTCCAAATTTAGTTTGCAGTAACATGGCATTGATTAAGTTGAAACCCTGGCTATTGCAATTACTTCTTTCTTCAGAGACAATATGTTTTTCTTTTTTAACTTGTGTTGAATTCTACCTATATCTCTCTCATTGGTCTTTTCTTTTAAAAAAAAATAGCTTTCCTTTCTAATATTAGGGTGCAAACAGTTTAAGCACTGCAAAGGTAGTTTCTCAAACATTTCTCAAGACTTTCAGATAAGCAGTTATAAATAGCATAGTGGATATAATTTGCTTTTGGGGAATTATTTAGGTGTTTTGGTCATCTAAAGCTGATGCTGTATTATGTATAGTGTTCAGAATCCCCCTAAAACTAATAGTTTGGTACTTTTGGAAGTTTATCATCTTTTTATAGTCAAATGAGATCCAGACTTCAGTTTTCTTCCTGTTGGGCTGCAGGATGACCTTGACCAAGACTATCATTATATGTGTAATCCATCACAGTGGCTAACCCACTGGATTTATTCTCTATGATCATGAGAACTGTACATCTGAATATTTTTAACAATGTACTATTTTCAGCTGTCTTATTTTGGGGCTGGTTTGCCAGCATATGAATGAGACTGTTTTTAAATATAAGGTACAAAAAGGTCATAAGAGAACTCATGTTAAGTTTAGAAATCCTAAGCTGATTTTAGAAATCTTGATGATGTCATCTTCCCTTAGGCTTTGTTAAGTCAGGAAGGGCTTAAACTGAAATATCAACTGAGATTCAACAAAATTGTTTCATAGATCGAAAAGCTGAATACTTCCATTAAGGTATCTCAGTTAACGTAACTGATGGAAAAATAAATGAATAACCACAAAAGTGTATGGTGTTTTGATGATTTGCATATGTTTCTTTTTTTTTTTTTTTGATACAGAGTCTCACTCTGTCACCCTGGCTAAAGTGTGGTGGTGTCATCATAGCTCACTGCAACCTCAAACTTTTGGGCTCAAATGATTGTTCTGCCTCAGCCTCCTGAGTAACTGTGACTACAAGCATGCACCACCACACCCGGCTGATTTTGCTATTTTTTGTAGAGACAGGGGTCTTGTTCTTTCTAAGGCTGGTCCCACAGTCCTGGCTTCAAGTAGTCCCCCTGCCTTGGCCTCCCAAAGTACTAGGTTACAGCTCTGAGCCATTGTGCCCAGCTTATACTGCGTATATGTCTAAGGGTCATTTCCTTCCAAGAGTAGCTTTGACATAGCACTACTCCTTGAATGTGAAGGATAGTACTTTAAAGAAAATTCTATACAGGTCATGCTAGCCAAAGATTAAAGTGGCAGGCTAGTTATAAAACTGTAAGCCTTGATCATGACCATGAAATTGCACTTTGTTTCTTTACATATGTTTTCAGTTCAAAATCCAATGCAGGAAATACTTTTTTTTCTTGTTAGTCAAGAAATATTTAATAAGCACCTATCATAGACCAGGCATTGTGTTACATACTGAAAATATAATGCTGAAGACTATAGGCTTTTGATGGGTCACTGTCTAGGTAGGTTATTGGCAAGGTCTGGGTTGCTGGTCCTTCATCTAGGCTCTTCTCCCTCAGCATCAATAGATATTCTTAGGAAAAGCCCCTAGTTACTCCTACGAGCTTCATCAACACCCAGGACAGAATTGAATCTGAGATTTTTTTCCTCTAAGAATTGTAGAATATAGAGTTCAAAAGGATACCGAAAATCACAAAGTTCAGTTGTTTCTAACATCTCCTAGGATCTTAGGGATTCTCAGAGTGGCAAATGAAAATCTATAATCAATTTTCAGTATTCTAAAAAGCCTATCAGAAGTTGCACATTTTCTGGTAGTATTAAATGACAGGTTTCCTTGGTATATGCTAGAATCATATTCTATCCATGTCAAAGGGAGGTTCTGACTGAGCTGTCTTCCAATTAAATATAAACTGTTTTCTCGTTATTATACTCAATTTGGTAAACAGCTTTTCAGAATCCATGAGTGAGGTCATGGTCAAGTCAATAAAATTGGTAACGTCCAATATAATGTTTGTAATTCACAAAAAACTTTTCACTGATTTCATCTTGATTTGTTCCTCATAACACTGGAATCACTTAATAACAGCTTAGCTGGGAGGCCTTGACTCTCATGCTAGTGCTGTTTTCAACTGCTCTGAACTTTCTAGGTTCCTTTTGTGTGTCCCTAGTCTACATGTCAAAATCCTCCACACGGTAGTGCCTGTCATGTTCTGGCCATTGGGTCACACTGCCTACCTCTCAAGTGAAAGCAACTAATCTTCCTGTTCAGGAATGTGGCTCACTTGCACACATTCATGGTACGGCAACTTGGCGCCACTCTTGGCCTAGAGCAGGCAGCCTGAAGTAGCTTCCCTTTATTTAAAATATATGTTGTAAGTAAAATTTTACAATATTTATTTTTTAAGTAAACCTCTCACTTCCACTGCCTTTCCTTATTATTTTTACCCCCTAAAGCAAGAAAACGGATGAATTATTTAAACATCTGAGTTTTAGAAACCTGTGTTCCTTTTGAGAAATTCATATTATTCTTTGAGGTTCTTACTTTTGCTTATTAATAGCAATATGAGTCACATAGCAATTAATGGTAAAACTAAACCTGGCCTGGAGCAGCCATGGGTTTTGATCCTCTTTACTTATAATAATTAGAATTTAGCGCTTCTACTATTTCTCCCTTCTTTCAGCATTTTATGCTCAAATTCAAAGAATGCCCTAATCAGATGACAAATCAGTTTGTACTTTTTTCAACATGTAATTGTATTTTGAAACAATTTCAGACTTCCAGAAAAGTTGCAAGAACAACACAAAGAACTCTCATGTATCTTTCATCCAGAGACCTGATTAAAATTCTGCTAATTGCCCTTATGGATGTCCTTTATTATAGCCGAAAGCTGTCATCTGGGATCATTTGCCACACTAAGTGATCTGTCTCTTTAGTCACCTTCAATCTGGGATGTATTCTCAGTCTTTCCATGAGTTTCATGCTTTTCATATTTTTTAAAGACTTCAGGGCAGCCACTTTGTAGAATGTTCCTAGTTTGGGTTTGTGCCAGTGGTATGCTGGATCTGGCTCCAGATAACTTGTGAAAACAGAATATTCATATTTCTTCTCAATTTTATGTTCAGTGATATCAATTGGTACTTGAAACTGACCATGATGGAATTATTGGCACCATAGAAGTCAGGAAATACATAAACAAGGGCTTTTTCCCCTAGAGTGCTTGTTGTTAAACGTTTACCAGCGCACGATTGGATTCACCTAATGTTTCTTTATGATTAAACCTAAATTATGCATTTTTGACAGGAATATCACAAAAGTGACACTTTTTTCAAATCAGTGCGTCTTATCAGATGGCAAATAGGGTGGATTTGTTCCATTACTAGTGATATTTACATTAGTCACTTGGTTAAGATGAGTCTGCTACATTTTTCCAATATAAATTTATTTTTCCTTTAATAATCAACAAACATTCTGAGATATGTTAAGACTGAAAATGTAGTCATTTTTTGGTATCTTTGGGTGATTGGTTCCAGACTGAGGATACTGAAATCTGAGTATGCTCAAGTCCCTTATATAAAATGGCATAGTATTTGCATATAACCTATGCACATCCTCCCATGTACTTTAAATCATCTCAATTACTTATAATACCTAATACGATGTAAACATTATGTAAATAGTTGTTATACTGTATTATTTAGGGAATAATGGCAAGGAAAAAAGTCTGTACATGTTAAGTACTACAATCATATTAAGCCTAATTACATTTGAAAGTAGAGGTTGATTGAATCCATGGATGTGGAATGGTAGATATGAAGGGCCGACTGCAACCTATTTCTCATTCACTTTCACCTTCTAGTTTTAGCATCCATTGATGATTCTTGCCCAAATTATTATTATGATGGTTCTCAAATAGTGATTTGTCTAACTTCATCCTTCCTTCTACATTTATTATTTGGCATTCTACTTTAAGAAGAAGCTTTCCCTTTACTCACAAATAGATTATGAGCAATCTCAAATACTCAAATAGCATAATCAAATACTCATAGATTTCTATTTTATTCAGTTTGTTATTGCATTATTTATTTTGATTATCAGATTGACCCAACTTTAGCCAGTGGTGCCCCTTGGAGCATTTTCCTTATTATGTTGACATGCCTCTGTTCTTTGAGCATTTTCTTCCTTTGTGGTGCAAAAACATGTTTCAGGTTCAACTTTTACTTCCTTTTGCCCCAACCTTGGAATCAGCTACTTCTTTTTTTTTGGTATATAGAAACCAAAATCTGGGTGCAAGGTGTGCTTATTGCTTTTGGAGTGTTGCTAACCCCAGACCTTTTCAGTGGCAGAGCAAGAAAATGTGTTTATCCCTTAACATATTTATTTCTATAGCTATCTTTATATATGATAAATCATGAATTTGTAATGATAGCTCCAATTCAAATACAATACCAAGGCTACATTCTATCTGTTCTCCTTTTTATATTTATATCTACTTTTTCTATCAGTAAAAAACCTGATTCCATTATTGTCAATATGTTTACTTATTCAGTTAATCCCCTGTATTTAGCCCATCTCCTGACCTTGCTAGGCTGCACCTAATATTGTACTCAGATGGGCTGTCATTATTGACTCATTGGGGTGTTCCTGCTGTCCCACTCCAATGACACTCTTTCAAATGTTGTCATTATCAGCCAGTGAGGCTGCTTTTGTTTGTATTTTGAGCTACTTTGTAAACTCTGAGGGTGGTGCTTACATTTAGTATTTTCTTTTGCCATTGCAGCTTGATCTGCATTTGGTTCATGAAAAGCATGAAATAGTTACTATAGCTTAATAACTTACTGTTCATGTCTCCTGATAGTATTACATATACTTTGAGGAGATACTGGGGAGAGAAACAACCCATAGAAGATTGGAAAGAAGCAGAGATAAGGAAGGAAGTGAGAGGTAGCTGAAAGGTATCATAATGAGTGCTAGTAATAATACTCTTTTGGCTAGTAATAATACCTAGTTTGACGTAGTCTTTACCCTGTCCTGTTAAGGAAAAAATACATGTCCCTTAAAAAAATGCTTAAAGCAACAGCTTTTATTGACTCAAAAATCTTTCACTAGGCCCTTGTCTTTTTGCCCTATGGAGTTCTGGTTCACTTGGCATGTTTTCCCAAATTTTCATCCGCTATTTATACTTTGAGCTACTGGCCTCCAGGCCCATGTTTTCAATTGCCTACTCATGTTTCTCAGCCTGTTCCATCTTTCTTCTCAAATAAATTTCTCTTCTTGCACATACTGTCTGATTAATGGTTCTATCAACTTTTCCACTCTTCTTTCAGTTCATTTATCCCTTTTCCCCCTCCCTTCTCAGCCTAGTCTAATTTCCATGAGCCTTCATAAATACCTTTCCAGCACACTCCCTCTTCTTTATCTTTGAGTTTCTGACATTTTCAGGATATTAAATAACTTCATTTTGCATAATGTTGAAAATGCAGATGTGATAAAGGGAACAATTAATAACTGATGCTTCTATCACTTTCTTCCCCAGGCAGAGAAGTTTGCAAGTTTCCTCTATGCCTTTTGTTTTCTATTTTTGGCCATTCTCCTCTCTACTATAATTTATGTTCTCCCCTCTCCCCGCTACTCTTTTTTTTTTTTTTCCCCCGCTACTCTTAAATGATCTCTGTTCTGTGGCTCACTGTTCTCTTAATCTGTCCATGCTTCTGAGGATCATATAGAAAGAAAAAGGTCAGCAGATTAGGCTTCCCAGTCTTGCTACTCTGTGGAGGTGGGTTCTGAATGACTAAAAATAGGTGCTCTTTAGAGCATACAGGAAATATGTCTCCTTTAGGAATCTTGCAGAAGAGGGGCCTACTAGCGTAAGACACAAACCTTCTGGGCTTCGAGGAGTATTTTAAGAAATCCTAATAGGCAGTTTCCCAAAGAGTAGTGGGCAGTTGGAGGTAGTATGGAGATATAATTAACTTCATAGTCAGAAGGTCTGTACTGTAGTGCCAGCTTTGCTTCTAGCTGGCTGTGTGACCTTAAATAGGTCGCTTATACCTCTTTGTGCTTCTGATTCCTTGTTTCCCAAATAAGCATTTAGAATAGATGGGTTCTAAGTCCTGCCCAGTTCTAAAATAGAGATGCCAACAGAACTGTGTTAAGTGTAGTGTTAAAGATAATGTAGGGTTTTTTTTGTGTGTGTGTGTGCATTTATAATGACTTGTTTTTTGGCCTAATTGAAGGTAATATACTAATTTTATTTTTCCTTTCTTACAAAACTAATACCTCTGGGGAAAACTGAAGGGAATTTATTTAAATATATAATTTCTTTAAAATGTTTTATGATAGACTTAATCTGCATTGAGCACATTTTAATTATGTGTGGGATGTACATTATATTTCTACTAACCATTTCTCTTGGATAGCCATTATTTCACCCACTGTTGTCTCTGAAGAGGACTCCCCATGCATTTGCCTATTAATAAAAAATATCTTGTTTATTTTTTCCATGTAGTAGTTTTATATTTAAAAAAAATTATTCCTGGAAATGAATATCCTCAATTCTAGCCCTTTAGGTATTTATAAGCTGCATGATTACTAATATTTTTTTCCAGAGATTATTTCAGTGGGTGAAAGAGGTTATTTATTTTCATTGTATTCTTCACTTTTACTTCTTCCATTATGTAGAACCTTATTTAGAGTTTTCTGTTTTTCATATATTTTTATGTTACAAAAGATGTTATTCTCCATTTTATATTAAAATGAATTATATATTAAAATGAATTTAGAGATATTTATGTATACATACTAATGGTAAAGTATTTGGGTAGAGTGTTAAAACTAAGTTAAAGTACTAATTGCAACTTAACCTGAAAATTACTAAGATAGTTTTCAAACTAAAACTTCAAAGTATATTATTAACCATAAAGAAATGGGTAAAATTTTGATCCTAGATTTTACTCAAAGACCAGGTGACTTTGACGAAGAATTTTTTGGTAAGTTAGGGCATGTCTCCTAGAATTGCTATATATAAGATGTTAAAACCTGTAAAATAAGCTTAAGTAGAATATTAATTTACATGTTTATGTTATCTGTTAGATATTATATTTCTAAATTATTTATTTTGAAAATAGGGTGGCCATTAAAATTCTGAGAAATAACTATCAGATATAATTATTAACAGATTATAATTTCTATCAATAACCCATTCAAAATAAGCTAAGTTCAAACATGCTTCTGCATATTTTTCTTTTTAGATCAAAGAAAGCAAAGAATTCAATTGACAAGTCTACTGAAACTGACAATGGCTATGTATCCCTTGATGGGAAAAAGACTGTTAAAAACAGCGAAGATGGAATACAAAATCATGAACCTCAGTGTGAAACTATTCGACCGGAAGAGACAACCTGGAACACAGGAACACTGAGGAATGTTCCCAAAGTAAGTGTGACATTTAAAACAATTTGCCTGTGTGATTTTATATTAGCTAATGTGAAGTTGTCAGGTCAGCAGTCTGTTTTCGGTTCTTGGTGTGCTTTTGGTGGAAGAATGGCCAGACACACCAAAAGCAAGGCAAGCACCAGGAGAATTCTATTGAGTAAAGTAAGATACATTCACCATAGATGGTGAATGGGCTCCTGTTGTACCAGGAGAGCTCCGATAATGGTCTGGGGTCCTGTTTTATATTGCCTAGGTTGGGCCTTCCTTGTGGTTCAAATGTCACCATGGAACCACTTTGATAGACAGTTGGGAATTATATAACCTGAGTCCTATTGCGCATGTGGTTATCCTATGATTGTCTTTGAAAGTCCATGGTAGAGGGAACTGCAATGCAGATTTAAGATAATGACATGATAATTAGTGTTAGGTTGTTCTAGGTCACCTTCCAGACCCTATTGTGCCTGTGCTGCTTGGCCTACGGGCTGGGAAACCCTCTGCATTCTTTTGTAGTTGGTGCATTAAGTCCTGATTGGCATAGTGGCAGGGCATTCCTTCCTCTTCCCAGGTGTGCCAGTTGTTTGGGGCACCTGACTTTGTCTTCAGGAAAGTCAGAGGTCTCTCACTATCTACCTTACAGAGTGACTTAGGTATAGTATTAATGGTTGCCCTTAAACTAAGTATTGTCTCCAGAATTTATTCTGCAAGCTTTTATAAATAACAAGAATGAAGCTAAAAATCAGATAAAGTATTGTGTGATTAAATTTGATTGCCCAGTATAATTTGGTACTTATGAGTTGGTTGATGGCTCTAATTTTCCAAAATGTTAAAGCACTTTATAGTTATTATTTGTTAAACCTAACTTTTTCTTTCCCTACTTCCATATGTGTAAAAATTTGCATTAAGCGGAATATCTAAATTATTCAAAAAGCTGAAGTAGAAAAGCAATTTTCTATTCATATTCTAAGTAAGAAAATGTTTTTTTCTACAATCATTACCTATGCTGTCAGCACATCTGTTTTGCTTTTAATCTGAAAAAACTCTTATTAAGGAAATATTTATTAAAGGTAACAATTATTTGTTTACTTTTCCAAAATAATAGTCAAAGAGACTCTGAGTTCATTGTAACAAAATCTAGTGTAATGTCTTCTGTTTCTTTGTTTCACTGATTTTTTTGTTGTTAAATAATTTATTCTTTAAAATCTGTTACAGTAAAAAAAAAAAATACAGCCAAATTTAAAGATGTTACCTCTGTTACATTTAGGAATATAAGCATGAACATCTTGTGTTAAGGAAAATAAAGAAAAGAGGATTCTCTAATTTTGAGTAAAATTGTGTTACTACTTATTTTGGGTAAAGTATGTGTTACTACTTGAACAGACATATATTTTCAGCACCAGTAGCTATAGAACAGCATGGGCCTGCAGTGAAATATGGTCCCTCACTCTGATTTTTCAAGCATTTAGCTCTCTTTTAATATGAACCTCACATCACTATGATCACTCAACAGGTAAGTTTTCAATCATACAGCTTTCAAATACATTTTTATTTATTTATTTTTTTTTTTATTTTTTTTTTTTTTTTTTGAGACAGAGTCTCGCTTTGTTGCCCAGGCTAGAGTGAGTGCCGTGGCGTCAGCCTAGCTCACAGCAACCTCAAACTCCTGGGCTCGAGTGATCCTTCTGCCTCAGCCTCCCGGGTAGCTGGGACTACAGGCATGCGCCACCATGCCCGGCTAATTTTTTATATATATATCAGTTGGCCAATTAATTTCTTTCTATTTATAGTAGAGACGGGGTCTCGCTCTTGCTCAGGCTGGTTTTGAACTCCTGACCTTGAGCAATCCGCCCGCCTCGGCCTCCCAAGAGCTAGGATTACAGGCGTGAGCCACAGCGCCCGGCCACATTTTTATTTTTGTATTACATAATAAAGTTATATGAGGAACATGAAGATATCAATAAAATGTATGGTCTGGAGTCTTTTAGTTTCAGAATTTCTAAAATCTAGATGTCTCTTGCAAATTGATGTGTACAGAATGCAGTCTGTCTGGTATGTGCACACATGCAACTACCATTCACTCCCTCTTGCCCATAAGCCATTATTGAATCAGCAGGGGGTCTTATAATTGATGGCTTTTTCAGTTCCGAAAGAAATACTATAATTAGTTCCTTTCAGGTCTCTCAGTTTCTTTTAAATGGTCTCTGTTCTGCTTTTCTCCTGTTTTATATTTTTTTATTTTTGTTAGCTGTTTCAAATCTCTATGAACAAAAATGTTACAGAGCAATGTTTGACAAATGGCTGTTGAAGTACTTTTAAAAGTAAAAATGTACTTTAAAAGTATAATCACTGATTTAAGACATTCGGAAAATCGGTTAGTACTAATCACTTTCAGGTATTTGAAGGTATTTTGAAGATACATGTATGTATGTGTATATAATTTAAAATCTTGCAGTTCAAAAGCTAAAAGTTCAGTTAGAAATTACCTATTTTAATCCTCTTTGTGTACTCCCAACTTAGGATACCCAAAGGACAATAACAAATATCTCTGATGAAGTCTCCAGTGAGGAAGGTCCTGAACCTGGATACCCACTACGTCGTCACGTGGACAGGACTAATGAAAGCGTTCTTCGGAATAGAAAGTCACACCATTATAAGAAACATTATCCTAATGAGGTATACACACTTTGGCCTTAAATATATACATACATAGCTATTTTCTATGCTAATTTATAACTTTTTTCAGCAATTGAAAATTATTATTGAAATAAATATTTCCTATTACTATCAATATCTGTTACTATTATATGATCTGGATTTATAGAGTAGCAGTTTTAGATTTATGTATTGCGCACATAGTGACAATCACGTATTTGAACTCATTTTGTGCATTATTTTTGAAGACTCATACATTGTTTATTGTTTGCTTTTAAAGAAGACCATTCTGGAGAGACAATCTGCAGATTCTGTGTTCGTCTCTTTCATAGTTTGAAAGACTTTATAATTCTTGATTATAGCAGTTACTATTCTAAGTAACTTCCTTCATATTACTCTTACTAGTTATTAAGTCCTCAGACTATAAAGTTCAGTTCTTTTTTTTTCTTTGTTTCCATTTTTTATTGATTTTTGTTTTCTCTAAATCCTTTTCAAACTTTATCATATCTCTTAAGCTTAACATTATTTAAATAGAAAAATAATTTTATTCATTTGAATTTTCAGTTTCTATTCTAAGGATAGAACATTCAATTATCTGGCTTCAAAACAAATCAATTACACCTTATGTCACGTAACATTACCTTCTACTCTTTTTGAAATATATTAGTATTTTTTTCCTTCATGATTTCATGTTAAACTTATGAAAAATCCAGTATTACATTGTGCTAGAATATGAATGCCTTCAGAGTATTAAAATTAGCAGAGCTACTTCTTTGCACACTGTTCTCTGTGGTTGTATCTCTAGTTAATTTTTCTGGTGACTATGGTTGCATTCCTTTTCTCAGCGGCTGCCGTTAGACACTGATGCCAGTATGTCTGTCCACTCATTCCCTCTTCACCCACATCATTCGATGTACTGTGTACTTCTCCTAAACCAAATAACTAAGCTTGTGAAATCATAGTCTTACTGTTCATACAATTAGAAGTCAGTTGGTGCTGGAAGGGAGCTAGAGTGCTGCTGGAGCCGTCTCCTATGGAATGAATTATTTGGCTTTAGAAGTACTTTTCTCACACCCCCCCATGATTTTTGCTCTTCTTGGTTTCCACCTGTATTTTGAACTGTTTTGAAAGTCTTGAAGGATAGAACATTATTCTACTAATCTTAACTTTTAAATAAATGTGTTGCTTAAAATCTTCTAGATTTCAAGCTAAGTAAGACTGATAATTGATAGGCATTGATTGTTTTAAATCTTTTTTAATATATAAAAGATTACATAAAAATAAAATCTGGTCATCAAACTCTTCATATGCAAAGTGAAGAAGATATTTAGACTAGAAGATATTTAAAAAGCTATATTCAATTCTAAAAAATTTTGACTCTCTGAAGTGAAACTAGCTCTAAAAGGGGGCATTTTTTAAAAAGCAAAATAAAGTCTCTTTTGAATAAATAAAATTGAGACAGAATATTTGTAATGCTGTTTTGCATTTTTATTTATGGTATAAATTGTTATACTCCCTTCAAATTACTAGTCATATTTTTTTCTTTAAGAATGAGGCACAAAAAATTGTTTTGGCCCACCCAAACACAATGAACAAGCATCTCTAGCACCTACTTTATGCCATTTATCACTTAAAAAAAAAAAACCACAAAACAAAAAACAGGGCTTCTTAAAGAAATAGCTGATTCCTGATTCCTGACTGTTGCAAGAAATGCACAAAATGACCCGGGAACCTCTTGATATGATAGAGAGCAAGAAAGCTATTGAAGTCTACTAAGGTCTTTTTAGAAGGACTCAGGAGCCAATGATAGAATAGTTTGAACTTTAATTTCTCTCCAACTGATAAACAAAAAGAGATGAAAAAAATATCCTTTGGGGAAGCATTTTGTGCATGAGTGGCACTGGTGGGCTTCACTGTAAGATATGACAGGTGAGAAACAGAGCCATTTGCTGTAAGCCTCCCAGATGGCAGGCAGTATCTATCGATGAACTTTTTAGGGGCCTCTAGTTTTCCAGGAAGAATCATCCAATCTTCTGGTGGAATGGGAATGGGGGATAATATAACAGGCTGCCATGGTGTTTGGCACCAAGCAGGCTGGGGATGATATGGGAAATCTTTTCATTTAATGTGTAGACTTTTGTTTAATCCCCTTGGTTTTGCCCTTTTTTACTATCTCTTAATACTGTATCTGGTTGGCTTCTTCCAGTCTCTTGTTGGGAGGACAGTGGTGGGATTACTTGGTTATCTGGGATAAGGGATGTGTCCTAAGGAACTGATAGCTTCTTTTAAGCATTTATCCTATTTCCTGCTCTGTCCTGTCTTTGTTCAACTCTGTGTTTTCAAATTTTTACTCCCAATTGTAGATTAACTTTTCATCTAATAAAGATAACATTTGGTGGGTAGGAAGCATAATGAAGAAACTATGGGCTTGGAGTAAGATCATTTAAATGACCTTGGGAAAAATATTGAACTTCTCAGAGTCTTTTCTGTGACCATACAATAGGGAGATAAGACCATCCTTCTCAGATTATTAGTGTTAAATAAGATTATACATAAATAGCTTAGCAAAAACATTTATGTTATAAATGCATATTCCCTTCAAATAAATACTGTATGTCCTCTAAATTTGATATGTTCGATTTTGGCTGTCTAAAGATTTGAAATGAGCAGAGCAAACCAAAATGTGGTTAACTTGAACATTTTCTTCAATTGTAAAATTTCCTATTTTTAGGCTTTATTCAACACTTTGTAGTAAAATTCCAAGTAGCTGTTCATCACAGATATTGCGAGTAAAATTCTGTTTGAAATGTAAGCAATTATGGGTAATAAGTTTTAGATTTTTACATTTGTAAAATGGCCCACTTATTAATCAGTATTTGGCAAAAAACACTTATGAAGAATTATATATATTTCCTTAGCCCTGAAATAAGTCATCAGTTGCAGTTAAACAGTAATCAGGCCTTTAATCCTGTTAACTTATTTCTGAATCTGATTAACAAGTCTGCATCATAAGTTAATAATAGATAAGAAACTAGCTTTATCAAAAATGTCAAATTTGCAATTACCGAAAACTTAATATTTTCTGTGCCTTGCTATCTAACGACAATTGTTATAATGAAAAATTCTTATATTTTAAGTATTCTGGTTGACATTACTGAGTCTGAAATATTTTTGGAGTGCTGTTTCTAAAACAAAGCAGAGTGATTTTTGCCCTTTTTTTTCTTTATTTTCTCTTTTTATTTCTTTATTCATCTCTTAAAAAAAATTTTTTTACTTCTCCCTAAATAAACAGCCTTTCTCTCAGAATCACTCTGTCAATACACTAAATATGGATTCATGGTTCCCCAGTCTAATATCAACAGATTAATTATCAATAATGTATAATATACCTTATTCAAGATATTTTATTACCTGTGGTAATAATGGCAAAAAAAATCTGTCTTTCATGGACTTATAATGTATTTGAGAGTTACAATCTATTTGCGAATACGAAATACATGAACATTTAATTGAGACACATAATATATTAAATTCTGGGAAGCAATACAAAAATTAATGTCAAGTGAAGATAAATGATAATAACTCACTTCAGGGACAAAGTGATCATTCTAGGTAGGTGGCTTTAAACTAACATTGGTTGAGTCCCTGCTTTGTTCCAGGTTTGGATTAAAAGCTACCATGCTCATTTAATTTTCAACGTCTATTTTAAAGGAGAGCAGGATTAATGATAAGAGATAGGAACATAATCAGAGGCTAGAGTGGCAAAGAACAAGCCATGTTTAGGGGCTAGGGAGTAGCCTAATATCACCGGAGGAATAGGTGGTATGAAGTAGAAGACAAAGTCAAAAAGTAGCACATACGAAGACAAGCATGTGCAGTGAAGGAATTTAAACTTGTTGAAGGAGAGCCCAGGGAAACCAGGAAAAGACTTTGGTTAAAGGAGTAAAGAACAGCTGTACTTTAGGAAAGTTACTCTGGAAAGAAGGAGAAGGCCTTTTAGGCAGGGGTCAATTAGGAGGTGCTTATGGCAATGAAGGTATGAATGATAAAGTCTGAACTCTGGCAATAGCATGAGAAAGACAAAGGGATAATATACATTATTTTAAAGGTGCAATTCACTCATCTTAGTTACAGAGGACAGCTAAAAAGCAATTCAAAGATTTGAACATATTTGGCTCTAAGGATGGCTATTAACCATTCTTTATTCAGTAAAAATTCTTTTAAATTAATTTAAATCAAAATTTAAGAGAATATAGGCACAACCATTGCATGCAAAGTATCATCTGAGCTGAAATATGAAATCAAATAAGTTTTGATATGAGAGCCTTTTGTTACTGCTTAAAAATGAACATATTTTTTAATGTTTTGCTATATCTCTTTCACTGTCTTTTGACGGTGTATTTGTTGTTTTTGCAAAAAGTAGCAATATATGGTTCTGATAGAATCCTTTGAGTTGGAAAGGGTACATAAATTGTATTAATGTCAAAGAATATCTTGATTTCAGGATGCCCCTAAATCGGGTACTAGTTGCAGCTCTCGCTGTTCAAGTTCCAGACAGGATTCTGAGAGTACAAGGCCAGAATCTGAAACAGAAGATGTATTATGGGAAGACTTGTTACATTGTGCAGAATGCGGTTCATCTTGTACCAGTGAGACAGATGTGGAAAATCCTCAGATTAATCCATGTGTGAAAAAAGAATATAGAGACGACCCTTTTCATCAGGTTGGTTTACAGTTTTGGGTTATGTGGACCTCTTAGTCAAGCTCCTTTGAATATATGTTCAAATTTTACAGAAGTGAAGAAAAAGCTTACACTTGACTAAATAATATTTCTAAATTTTTTTTTTCTTTTTATGTGAGCTGTGGTCTTGCTTCGTCAAAACATAAAATCTCAGTATTTATATTGTGGTTGTGTATGTTCCTGAGAAGTTGCTGGTAAATAGAGTTTTGTAAGTCAAACTGTTTCAGGTGCATTAGTCCTTTTTTTACTTAACATACTTCATGATCCGATTTATATATACCTTGGTCTAAATTCCACCTGTGTGACATTATATTCACAAATCTACATCTCATAAATATCAAATTTGTATCTCCAAGCACCTATATTAATGCTATCCAATAGAAATATAATGAGAGTCACATATATATAATTTTAAATTTTCTGGTGGCCTCATTAAAAACTTTCACAAAGGGGAAATTAATTTTAATGTTTTACTTAACACATATTATTTGGATTTACACTGATTTAAAGTCCATATTAAATATAAAAAGCAAAATATCAATAACAGCAAAAATAATTTTGAAGAACAGCAGGGGATTATCCCTTTTGGACATAAAAACTTTTAATACTTTAAGATAATGTGGTATAGGTGTATACCAAATAGACCAATGGAACAGGATAGAAAACCCAAAAATAGACATATGCTTATAATTTATAATGCATTACAAATCAGTGGGAAAAGGATGCACTCTCTGGTTGTATGTCACATGATTATTCATACATGAAAATTTTTTCCAGATAGATAAATGTGAAAAGGTAAAACTTGGCCGTGTGCGGTGGCTCACGCCTGTAACCCTAGCACTCTGGGAGGCCAAGGTGGGCAGATTGCTCGAGATCAGGAGTTCGAAACCAGCCTGAGCAAGAGCGAGACCCTGTCTCTACTATAAATAGAAAGAAATTAATTGGCCAACTAATATATATAGAGAGAGAGAAAAAAAATTAGCCGGGCATGGTGGCGCATGCCTGTAGTCCCAGCTACTTGGGAGGCTGAGGCAGCAGGATTGCTTGAGCCCAGGAGATTGACGTTGCTGTGAGCTAGGCTGAAGCCACGGCACTCACTCTAGCCTGGGCAACAAAGTGAGACTCTGTCTCAAAAAAAAAAAAAAAAAGGTAAAACTTAAAAATATTTAGAAGAAAATATAGGAGAAAAATTTTTGCTACTTCATGTTAAAGAAGACTTTTTTAAAGCAAGATATGAAAAGCACAAAAAACCAACATGGGGAGATTGATAAATTTGAATATCTTAAGATTTAAAACTTTGTGCTACAAATTAAACCACAAACATTGTTAAAAGACAAGCCACAGGCTGGGAAAAGATATTTCCAATACATTAACTATCAAAATGATCCTGCTCAGAGCACATAAAGAACTCCTACAGATGAATAAGTAAAAGACAAATGATTCAATAGAAAAATGAACAGGATGTGAACAGCAACCCACCTGAATGGCTAATAAAAAATATAAGTAATGATGGTCAGCCTTGCTATAGTAGTCAGGGAAGTGTAAATTAGAATGAGGAAATAATATTTCATATTGATTAGACTGTCAAAATATAAAACCTGATAAATTTCAATGTTGGCAAGAATATGAAGAAACAACTCTTATTAAATGCTGATATGAGTATAAATATGCATAACTGCTTTGGAGAGAGCAATTTATCACATAGTAAAATTGAAGTTCTGCATATTCTAAAACTTCTTATCCCATCTCAAGGAAACTTTAGAAGATGATCACTAGGAGACATAAAAAAAAATGTTCATTACATTGTACATGATAGTGAAAATTTAAAAGGTAATACCCAATAATAGTGGAATTAATAAATCATGCCATGTGATAAAACAATATAGAGCAGTGAAATTGAATGAACTGAGCCGCCTGTATCAACATAAGTCTTGTGATATCACTATAAGTGAAAAAAGCAAGTTGCAGGCCGGGCGCTGTGGCTCACGCCTGTAATCCTAGCTCTTGGGAGGCCGAGGCGGGCGGATTGCTCAAGGTCAGGAGTTCAAAACCAGCCTGCAAGAGCGAGACCGTCTCTACTATAAATAGAAAGAAATTAATTGGCCAACTGATATATTATAAAATTAGCGGGCATGGTGGCGCATGCCTGTAGTCCCAGCTACCGAGGCTGAGGCAGAAGGATCACTCGAGCCCAGGAGTTTGAGGTTGCTGTGAGCTAGGCTGACGCCACGGCACTCACTCTAGCCTGGGCAACAAAGCGAGACTCTGTCTCAAAAAAAAAAAAAAAAAAAAAGCAAGTTGCAGAACAATACATACGGCATGCTATTTATATGAAGTTTTGAAATATGCAAAACTGTATTATATATTGTTTATGGCTAAAAGCATATTAAGTAGGAATATAAAAACATGCGAAGGAATTATAAACACCAAATCTAGGATAATGTAACTGGGGAACAAAGGAAGGGAATGGAATAGGAAAGTGTACAAAGTAGCCTTCAGGTTTACCTGTAATATTTCACTTATTAAATATCTTGTGCAAATAAGGGAAAAAGGTAAAATATGATAAAGCCAACTGTTATTATTCTGTATCTAATTAGTATGTTTCAATTAAAAATATATATCCATTAGTTTTGGCTTTAGCCATAGGGAAAGCATCGGGAAAAGAAGCTTTGCTACAGGGAGTTGAGGAGTGAGACTGGGGATGAGGTTCAAAAAACATGGCAGTGAAAGTTTGAAGGGAATGAAGTAGTAGTTAGGGAAAAAGAGTTGAAGGGGTGTTTTGGTCCCCATGCCCCAAATATGTGAGATATTTGGGCACATTTATATACATGAGAGAAAATCAGTAGAAAACAATTGAAGAGGTACAGGAGAAAAAGTTTTTGATTGGTGGAATGAGGTTTCTTAGCATTTTGGAGAGGAAACCTAATTAGGGAGTTTAGCATACAGCAAGAAGAACAACACATCCTCTGCTGAGATAGGAGGAGAGAGAGGATGAGTATATGAAGCAGCAAGACAATAAGAGAATTATTGCTGGATGATCTCTATTCTGTAAAGTATAAGAGCCCAGGGGATCTACTGAGAATAAGAAGGGAGGTGATAAAATAGGGGTCTTGTGGATGGTAGTGAAGACTTGAAGTTGTCATTTGTAGGGAGTGGAGATAGAGGACTGAGAGTATGTGTGTCCATGCATTAAAGCCAATGAACACATTAAAAGAATCACATTGCCACATTGTTGAGGGTCCAGCTAGCATCTAAAACCATGAATTTGTAGTTGGCTATTCCACACAGTTAAGAGACATTTTCTGGAATGTACTTGTAATAATCATCACAGTAGCTAACATTTAATAAGCATTTGCTGTATGCCAGGCACTGTGCAAAGTAATCTAGATGTATTATCTCATGTAATCTCTATAACCTATGGCAATGTAATTTATTTTCTTTTTATAGATGAGAAAATTGAGGCTCAAAGTTGAGTAATGTGCTCAGACTCACAGAGCAGGTTCTCAGTAAATAGTTGCTGTTCAAGAAACAGGAGAGAAGATAATTGAAATGATGGGTATGGTGGGAGTCTAAACATGTTAGATTGAGAAGAAAGAGACAATAAATTGAAGGATAAGTTGTGTGTTCAAGGGAGCAAGTGTTTTGCATTGAAGTGGTGTGTTCAAGGGGAATGGTTTTGACACCTGATAAGATGAGAAGTTGTGGTGGAAGATTAATTTCCCAAGTAGAACAATTATGTATAGTAGCAAAGCCTGGGGTGTGGCCATGGCTGAAGGTCCCAGGTAGCTGAAGGTCCCTGGAATTGAAGAAATGAAAAAACAATAAACAATCCATGAGAGCATAAGGTATTAAATGAGTCATCTGCATATTTATCTAAGTCACTGAGACTAATAACTGCAGTTGAGGTTGAGGTTGAAATGCCTGTGAGCTATTTTCCCAGAGATAGCAATGAACAGCTTAGAAGCAGGGACCATGTGTTTTTTGCTCATTGTTGTATCACACAGAGCCTGGTACATAGTTGGTATCAATAGATACTAGTTGAGTGCCTGAAACAAAATTTAAGTTTTTTCTAAACATGCCAATTAGGCCTTTCTTAAATGATTTTAAAAATTGTTTTATGATGTCTGTACAGAACAAATTGCCCTAATTCTGTCACAGCACTCTGCTCCTTTTTTGGTAAGATAAACATTTTATATGTTCTACTGTGCATATCTAATTATGGTATCCTAGACTTCTGTTGATTTTGCTTTTGGATTAAAGATATGATTTAATGCACATTTTTTATTTTCAGACTTTCTAAAAGATAAACTCATGTTTTTAGTTTTACTAATAGATGAGTAATGGGAATTAGCTCCCTTTACTCAAAAATTACCAGGTTTTTTCTTGTTTGACCAAAGTCTGTTAGGTTTGAAGGACCCTTTTCTGCCCACCATAAAGATGAAAAAATCCCTCCTCATGAAGAAACACTGAGCATTTGAATTAGTGTGACCTAATCAGAATATTCCCAAATTCGTAGTTCTGTTTTGTTTTACTTATAGTAATTGAAACATTTCTGTAGGAGAAAAATTTTCTCCTCTAGTCATGGCTGAATATGTAATAATATATAAAGCCATTTTCACGTAAAATGCATTTTTCAGTAGGTAAAGCTTTAAAATGGCTACCTTCCCACAGTTGGAAATACTAGTCAAGTTGTTGTCATGGTGAATTTATTTGAAATAAAACATCCCACTATCTAAATGTTAAAGTTTTCAGGCAGTTTTGAATGAACAAGGAACAAAGCAGTTGAGATTTTAGATGAGAATAAAGAATAGTCATTAATAGAATTCTAAATTTTAGTTAGAAATGTATTTAGAAGAACCTATGTGATAAAATTATAAAATGGCTTTCTTTGTTCCATTTTTACTGAGCCTTTAAAGTGTTTCATGGGATGCTGCTCTCTGCACACTACAAGCAGTACACATTTCCATTAGACTGCTTTTCAGTATACATTTGACACACAAAGATACAGCGTTCTTTTAATTAACCTTTTTAAATTCATCAATTTCTAATTGCTATCTTCCCTCTTGCCTTTTGACTTTCTAAAAATAAGAATATGATATCAAATGCCAGTTAGAGTAACTGGGAAGGTAGCTGGGGGCAAAATGAGTACTTTGAAAGGACAGTGAAGAACTTCTTGATTTCCTATTTTTGTCTCTAGATGGACCTTGTTGGTATTGATATTCTTTTTTTCATGTAATTGGAAGACCTTTAATCCACTGTTACAGACTGAGAGTTAAAAAAAAAGAAATCTCTAAATCAGTGGTTGAAATCTGTTGTCTCTCAGGCTTAACATTCTTTCCACTCATCTTCTCATACTTCTTGTTTCTGGCTTTTTGGTTCTGTTATATTTCACAATTATTAAATTTCCAGAGAAATTTTGATATATATTTTGGTGCAAATTATTTCTATCCTAAAGTAGAATATTTTGTTTGGGAATAAATTAGGAAACATTATTTGAACAATTAATTTGGTAGTTAATAACCAGTATCTCAGAGCTCTTAAGTCCCTCAAAAAGTCCCTCAAATAAATTAGGAAACATTATTTGAAGAATTAATTTGGTAGTTAATAACTAGTATCTCAGAGCTCTTAAGTCCCTCAAATAGTGAAATACATGTTATAAGAGTTAATGTATATTAAAATCCTGTATCTTTGGAAAAGATAAAAATTTCTCAACTCTGTTTTCTTACATATTATTGAATTATTATTATTTAAACTTCAAATGAATCAATACAACTTTACCTCCCTCTAGAGGAAAGTGTTATATTCCTTAAGTTTACAGAAACATTTCTTTACTATATTTTATTCAAGTATTTTCCTCCAGAGAATAAATGTAAGAGTAGATTCTTCTGTTTATTGTTAGAAGTTATTTTAATGAAACATGTTATAAAATTTGAGTATTAGAATGTCAGAGATCTGTTGATTAAGTTAGAGGCCAGGCACAGTGGCTCACACCTGTAATCCTAACACTGGAAGGCCAAGGCAGGAGGATTGCCTGAGGCCAGGAGTTCAAGGCCAGCCTGAGCAAGAGCGAGACCCTGTCTCTACAAAACATAAAAAAATTAGCCAGATGTAGTGGCTCACACCTGTAGTCCAGCTGCTACTCAGGAGATTGAAGCAAGAGGATTGCTGAGCCCAGGAGTTTGAGATTGCAGTGAATAATGATGACTCCACTGCACTCTAGCCAGGATGACAAAGGGAGACTCTCTCAGAAAAACAAAAAAACAACCCAAAAAATTGTAATTTAAAATACTGTAATTTAAACAAACAAATTGTCCCCAATCTGGTTCTAATCTTTTAGTGTTACTTCTCTCAAAGTCTGATTATATAAAAGTTAGTGTTTCATTAATTTTGTTGATATCTTTAACCCAGCTATTCTATTTTGAAGTTTTATTCTTTTAATTGTAAATATAAAACAAACCAAAAAACTCCAACAAACTTAAGCATCTGATCCTTCATACTAAAATTTTTATTTATTTTTTTTATTCCTTGAAACATTGAGAGATACTTTATTCTACTTTGGAGAATACTTCTAGTTCTATGTGCTTCTGCTTTGCAATATTTGCTCTGTCTGGAAGAAAAGTTACATTGATCCTTTGGGGAAATACTTGATTAAAATATCAGAAAAGTAAATCAGATATTAAAGGTAAGTATATAAGGAAGAGTCTTTTTCAGGATGAGGTTGCATCACTAGGTAGTCTTTCAAAGAGGTTCAAATCTCAGCTACCAGTCTTTTTGAATTGAATGATCATAAGTTGGACAATGATCAGTATGAACAGTCTGATACTCATTGTAACATTAGTATAATGGTAGCTATGTAGACTGACAATTAAGTACTTTTGCTGACACATTTTAGTGTATTTTTTAATATGTTAACATATTAAATATACTAAAATATGTCATATGTGTGAATAGGTTGCCTAATATCTATTATAGAAAGTTCTTATACATTTTTACAATGTGTAATTTCTTGTGACATCTGTTCAGTGTATATACTAATTTTAAGATAGAATTTTAATATCATTAAAATTGTGTATATAGATACAGCTATGTACTGAAATGCATGTTCCATTTATAAAATATGATAAATGTATTCAGCAATTTTTATTTTTATTTAAAATTATATGTGAATATAGAAACATATATAGTTTCATATATACATGTTTTATTTATGAAATGTGATAAGTATATTCACCAATTTGCATTTATTTTTTGTAGAGTCATTTGCCCTGGCTCCATAGTTCCCACCCGGGATTAGAAAAAATAAGTGCTATAGTATGGGAAGGCAATGACTGTAAGAAAGCAGACATGTCTGTACTTGAAATCAGTGGAATGATAATGAACAGAGTGAGTTTTTAAATTTTATTCTTTTAGTTAAATGGTAAGACTTAATGATTACCAATATAAAATAATTACTATAATGTTATAATAATAACCTACTCACCTCATTTTTTCACCCTGAAGAAAGGTTATTTGTATTTGGTTTCATCTGATTTAAAGAGTGATTTGTCCCTAAACCGCTCTCATCTACTATGTTTTCATTCCTTTGACCAATAATAGATTATACAGTTTAAAATTTTCCTTTTATGTTATTCTTTCTTTTGCTTTCGGTGGATAAAACTGAGGAGCTGCTAGATGTATACAGGTGTTGATGAAGATTTACTTTTCTGTACCATCCTTACTGGTTCATTTATACATTAGTATCTAAAACATGAAAAAAAAAACCTAGTAAATTTGCATTCATATTAATGCTTGTCTGCTTAAATATATAGAAGTAATGCAAATAATGGTAAAAATCTTGAGTAGTTTGAAGAAGTATAGTACAAATACTGTGGTTTTCATTTTCTGTTATTTTATCAGACAATTTTTAAAATTTACTGATTTCTCTGGACAATTAGGCATGATCTAACATGCAATTCTAAATTTCTTTGGTACGTTATTATGCTAAAACTCTTGTCTATGCTTTATGTAAGACAGGAATTAAAATAACCGGGTCTAGAATTAATAATACTTCCTGTTACGTATCTCAGCATGCACAATTACAAGGAGCTAACTAGGGAGTCTTCAGAGACTTGCATCTAGTTGGTGCTCTATAACTTAACTCTCTGTGAATTAGCAGATCACTTAATTTAGAATAGTCTCATTTATCTAATGTATAATATAAAAAGTTAGCTACATGATATTCAATATCCCTTTTAGTTCTACTAAGCTATCATGTTGGAAACTCTTTTATTTTCCCCTTATTTCATTTCTAATTCTATTTTTGTAATTCTTTTACCTTTTTTTCTTCTCTATTTAATTTCTTCCCCCTTCTTTCATCTCTCTTCTAAAATGGTTTTAGAGTTTAAGGAGACATTTATTTGTATATTAACTCTTTAAAGAAAAACACAAGCTCTTATAAATTTATCAAATAAGTATAATTCTAGGGTTTGTTTTGACAAATTGAACTTCAGTGGATATGAGATCTCATTCTCTTTAATATTACAGTATTTGTGAATGTTTCTAACTTTTGAAATAGAGATAGTTTTTTTTCTAGATCTGGATAAGACTGAGATAATTGACCCTTTTGTCATCCTTTTACTGAATTAGAGATCTGATAATGAATTGTTTTTGAAAACTGAAGAATTAATGACATTTTATGAGTAATAGGCTCTCAAACTTGAATGGAATTCAGATTTCATTATTCATGTATTAAAACTAATATAATGATATATTACTATCATATAAATAAAATAATGCTTAATAGGAATTACTTTTACTATAAATTAAATTTATGTATAAATTTGTTTTTCTTTTTCCTCTCTTCCCCTGGCTCCCTCAAGGTGAACAACCATATACCAGGAATAGGATACCAGATTTTTGGAAATGTAATCTCTCTAATCCTGGGTTTAACTCCATTTGTTTTCCGACTCTCTCAAGCTACAGACTTGGAACAACTCACAGCACATTCTGCTTCAGAACTTTATACGATTGCATTTGGTTCCAATGAAGATGTCATAGTTCTTTCTATGGTTATAATAAGTTTTGTGGTTCGTGTATCTCTTGTGTGGATTTTCTTTTTTTTGCTCTGTGTAGCAGAAAGAACTTATAAACAGGTGGGTATAATATTAACACAGAGTTCTGAATAGAAAATAATTTATCTTTTTTATAATACTCAAGTATTCCTGAAACATTTTAGTATTTCATTAAATCATTTTTATCCAATTATTATTCTGTTTTGTTTTTATGGTACTTAACCAAATAAAATCTTAACAATCCGTATTTTGTTGATTTTTTTGTTTTGTTTTGTTTTGTTTTGGTAATCTACTTGAAAATTAATCCTCATCTTAATCTTTTTTAGCGATTACTTTTTGCAAAACTCTTTGGACATTTAACATCTGCAAGGAGGGCTCGAAAATCTGAGGTTCCTCATTTCCGGTTGAAGAAAGTACAGAATATAAAAATGTGGCTATCTCTCCGTTCCTATCTTAAGGTAGAATGGTAGTGATGAAAGTACTCTTAATATGCCAGCTCCCTCTGATAGTTCCAACTTCTTTGTCAATATGTATGTGTCTCTAGATTTGTAGTCACCAGCTCTATTTACTCAAAAGCTAGATTAAGGATTTTATTTCTGCCTAGACTGGTTATCACAAGCCAGCAGAGGGAGCCCACTACTTAAAAAAGAATTTAAAAAATAATCTGTAACCAATGAGTTTCCTCATTGAAGTAACCTATTATTATTTTAAAATTTTAGCTTGCAATTCTATGTCATTCTTTTAATGTCATTATTTTCCTTTAATCTTTTTACTAATTTTCCTAAAAAAAACTATGGAGGAAAAAGGAAAATATCTGAATTAGTTTTAGGAAAACACTTTTTCTCAGGATTATTTTTTGTTGCATTAAGTAGCAGTGAATTCTATTATATTTGGAGTAATAATGCAACTTTGAATGATGTTTATTCAAAACACTATCAGTGTTTTAGTTAAGTTGACCCAAAGATAAACTGTCCCCTGACATACTTAGATCTTTAATGTTTTTTATCTTGAAATAACAATGAAAGAAATAGAAGTTTGTACTATTTTATCCATCCTTATATTTTATAATAAAAATTCATGTTCATTTATTAATTTAATTTGTTAAATTCAACTCCATTGAGAAATAGCACAAATTGGCATGGATTGTTTTTTTTCTCACTGACATTTCTGTTGTATGGAGAGATGAATATAATCTTTTATACTTGGCTTGGTGAGAATCCGTCCATGCCATTCATTACTGATGAGGTGAAGGTTCCTACCCTTACAAGCTTACACTTCAGTGAGGGAAATATGTAAACCCAGACCTAGGAATTATCCTTGATTAATCTCTGGCATTCAATTTATTACCAGTTCATCTTCTTTCTGCTTCTGAAATATATCTTAAATACATTTTCTTCTTTTTGTTTCCATTTCCACCACCCTCATTGAAACCATCAATCATCTTCTACACTGGGCTACTACAGTTGCCTCTTAACTGGCCTTCCAGCATTCATATTTCTTCCTTTCAATACTTTCTTCAGTCTGCCATCAGAGATCTTTTAAAAATGCAGGTTTGATCATATAATTCTTAAAACTTTTTGGAGTTTCTCCATTGCTCTTATGATAAAGCATAAAATCTTAACAGAGTTTATAATGTTTTTCATGGTCTAGGTCCTGCCTTATCCACCTGTCTCTCTTGTCTCATTTTGAACACTTTCCTCCCTAACCCATTGCATTCCAGCTACATTAGAGTGCTTCATTCCTTTAAATGCATTATGTTTCTTCCCACTTTATGCTCTTGCATATGCTCTTCCTTCTGCCTAGAACACTCTCATGTGCCCTCCTGCCCCTTAGTTTGGTGTAAATATTACTTCCTTAGGGAGATCTTCCCAAGCCCACACTCCTAACCCTCAAATCAATGAAGTATCCCTGACCATTTTCTCAAAGCACCCCATACCTCTCCTTCATAATATTCATCACAATTTATCACAAAAAATCTGTGCTTATGAGCTTGCTGTCTGACTCCCCTAATAGTTCTTGTAAAGGTAGAGGGACCATGTCTTTTTTGTTCTCTACTGTAGCGGTCCCCATCCTTTTTGGCACCAGGGACTGATTTCATTAAAGACAGTTTTTCTACAGACCAGAGAGGGGACATGGTTTCAGGATGATTCAAGCACATTACATTTATTGTGTACTTTAATTCTATTTATTTCTATATTCATTATAATATATAATGAAATAATTATACAACTCACCATAGGTTGGAGACCCCTGCTCTACTATATTTCTAGCACCTAACAAAGTACCTAGTTCTGAGCAGGTGCTTAAGAAACATTTGTTGAATAAATAATTAGTATTTGACAAAATGAAATATTTGAAAGTTATGCTAAAAATTCAATGCTATGTAGACACCATTTTTTACTCTGTTGCAAATCCTCAAGAAATAATAACACTGTATAATTAAAATCCATCTGACAAATTAGGTACATTTTCAGCATTGTAAATTATGATCAACTCAACAGTGATGGATCAACACCTTAATTGAAAGTGTGGAAATTAGGTGCTAATTAGTAAATATATTTAAAAGTGTTTTCTTTCCCTACCCCCAGCGTCGAGGTCCTCAGCGATCAGTTGATGTAATAGTTTCATCTGCCTTCTTGTTGACTATCTCAGTTGTATTTATCTGTTGTGCCCAGGTGAGTTAACTTGTTCCGTGTAGAAATTAAACAACCAGATATATATATTAAATTTCAGAAGGCTTTCTAATAATAAATAATCAAAGTAACAACATAAGTAAGCCTAGTTAGACAAGTTTTGAAATTGGCTTTTTGCAGTTTATTTCTTTCAGTAGAATTAGTAAGTACATCTTATCTTTCTGTCATAAGCAGTGAACATATATGCTCAAATATCTGTTGAATAAATATATGGTAACTAATTTTTGCTTTGAATCCTTCTGATTATTTCTCAAGACAACTTATGAGTTATGAAATTGTTCCACAAATGGTTGATTTATTCACATTTAATTTTTTTTTAAATTTCTTATCTCTGAATTGTCACTGTGACTTGACTGCTGCATGCTCTGAAAAAGAATGTGCACTGGCAAAGATTAGTCAGGAAATACAAAAGTATCTTAGGATATACTCTGTGCTAGAAAATACAAAGCAATAAGACAAAGTGACCCTCTCTCCCTCTTCTAGTCAGCATTTGAGAGAGGGCATTAATCAGCAAAGACAGGAAAAAAATAAATAAATGATATGTTTAGAAAGGAAAAAAAAGTCATAGACTATATGATTATGTATATAGAACATCCAAGTGACTTTACAGACACATTAATAAAAATATATATTTTTAGAAGATCAAGATGAACAGAAATAGATATAACATCAACATTAAAAAATCAGTTTTGTTCCCATAAAGATTAAAGATCTTAATCTTAAAGATCCAAAAGATTAAAGATCTAAATGTGAAAAACAAAATTTTTAATTTGATCACAAATAAAATTCAAATTTTATGTACTAAAAACAGCATAAACAACAAATCAGAGTCTAGGAAAAGATACTGGGAAGACATGACTTACATAGGATTGTTATTCAGGATATATAAATAACTTCTACAAAACAAAATATAAAACAGACAACCTAATAGAAAAAAGTAGATATAGAATATAAAAAGGGGCCCAGACATGGTGGCTTACACCTGTAACCCCAGCACTTTTGAAGGCTAAGGCAGGAGGATTACTGGATGCCATGAGTTTGAGACCAGCCTGGGCAACATAGTGAGACCCTGTTTCAATCAATCAATTAATTAATTAATTGGCTTAGTGTGATGGCGTGTGCATGTGGTCCTAGTGACTCAGAACACTGAGGTAGGAGGATTGTTTGAGCCCAGGAGTTTGAGGCTACAGTGAGCTATTATCACACCACTGTACTCCAGCCTGGGCAACAGAGTGAAACCCTGTCTCAACAACAAAAGAATATAAAAAACATCACTCACAGAAGAGGAATCTCAGTGACCAAAATAAGCATATAAAACATATTTATCCTCCTTAAGTGTCAGGAAAAGTAGGATTAAAACAATAAGAGAACATTTTATACCCATCAGATTGACAGATATGAAGTTGGGTAATGACAAGTATTAAAAATGAGGGCAAGGTACACTACTTTGGGATAATAACAAGTAGTAATAAAAATGAGGGCAAAGGTACGTACACAATTGATACTGCTGAGAGTATAAATTGGTACAACTGTTTTAGAGACAAATTTATTATATTTAATAAAGTTGAAGATGTAATATCCGAGGACCCAGCATTTTAACTCCTAGATATTAACTCTTAGATATTAACTCTTAGAGAAAGTCTTACGTGTTTGCACAAGGAGACACATAAGAATGTTAATTGCAACATTGTTTGTAATAAGGAAAATTGGCAACAAAATAAATGTTAATTGGTAGGGTAGGCCAATGAATTATTGGCTTTTTTAACTATAATATTTTATAGGCATCAGAATTAACAAATAGAGCTAAATGTATTGTCATGGATAAATCTTGAAAACAAGGTTCAGTGGAATAAAACTGAAGAATGATCTGGATAATATGATAACATTTATATAAATTTTAAAAATAACAAAAATTGACATAGTTGAAGGATGTATATGTAGCTAAACTATAAAAATGTTAATGGAAGAGAAAAACAAAATTCATTACCGCTGGGGTGGGGCAGAGAAATAAGAAAAAATTTAAAGGGGTTTTAACTAAATCTGTAATATTTTATTTTTCAAAAATCTGAAAGAAATATTGCAAAATATTGAGATTTGACAAAACTAGGTAGAGGCTCCATGGACATTAATTACATTATACTCTATACTTCTAATGTGCTTAAAATAGTTCATAATAAAGATGGAATGTTTTTAAAATGTAATGCTATATTTATGAACAATCTGTATAAAGTAAAATATATCTTTTAAAAAGAAATTGTTTCACATTGGTGCTTCATGTTACCTTTTCATACACTTTTAGTTGCTTCATGTGCACGAGATCTTCCTTGATTGTCACTACAACTGGGAACTGGTAATCTGGTGCATCTCCTTAACACTGTTTCTCCTAAGATTTGTTACCCTTGGATCAGAAACAAGTAAAAAATATAGCAATACCTCAATATTACTTACTGAACAGGTAAGTAGGCATGCCTATTACACTATAAATTAATGTCTATATAAGGTACATATTAAGTTAAAATGTTTTCATTTACTTTGATTTTTAGGAACATGTTTTCTTTGATGAAGGTCATTTGTGCAATAAAGCAAAACTTAAAATTTGATGGGACACAAGTCTTTCTTCAGTATTTCTGCCTTAATTCAGATTTCAAATCTACTTTCTTTATGTCCCATTTTCATTTGACAAAAAGAAAGTACCATTTATAGAAATGATGGATTTTAAACCATTGGTGGGATATGTTTGCTTTGCAGTGTAACATAGCCACATTTGAATAAGTATGAATTTGTACTCAATAGGAAGAATAAAGTATACCGATGGTTAATTTTATTTTGTATGAATTTGTTAAATATTTTCCTCCCACCATTTCATAGGAATTATATAAAGAAATTTACTGCCACTGAACTTGTTAAATGTTTTAGTTAGGGATAATTTGATTTTAAAGAATCATAATCTTGTTGAATAAGCTCCATTAAAGGGAAAGGAGAGAGTAGCCAACAAAGATAAAGATCTCTAAGAAAGTATACTTGGGCCTTGTGGAACTGGACAAAATCAGCCTTTTCCTCCAAATTGCTCTGAGGCTAATGGTTTCTCATTTCTGTTCTTCTCTGTACCTTTCTTCCAGTGGCCTCTTTGTACACTTACTATCTTGTAATTTTGACTTACATGTGGTTTGGATTTGCCTCATCATGAGCTCAGGCTTAGACCTCACTAACTTTTCTGTTCATGTTCCTATAATATCTGGCAGACATTATGTTAGTCCCACCAGTCAGTACATTGACTAGCTTTAGTTTGGGAGTACACTCCAGCCTAATAAGCCATGACTGTCAGATTGGAGGTACAAAGGTGGGATCAAATGGGATAAGCACAGTTGCCTAGACCAGCTTTTTCTACAGGTTTGAGATTAGAGCATTTTTCAAAAAAAAAAACCTGTAGTGTAGACAGGGCAGGCATCCCAGAATTGTCTACTACAGAGTGGATAACAAATATATACAAATATATTTTGAGTGTCCTTTAAAATAATAAATCACAAACCAATTGATTTATTCTAATTATTCTTTTTTTGTTGTTGTTTTGTTTCTGAGACAGAGTCTCGCTCTGTCACCTAGGCTAGAGTGCAGTGGTGTCGTCATAGCTCACTGCAACCTCAAACTCCTGGGCTCAAGCTATCCTCCTGCCTCAGCCTCCCAAATAGCTGAGACTACAGGTGTGCATCACCACGCCTGGCTGATTTTCTATTTTTTTGTAGAGATGGGCGTGTCTTGCTCTTGCTCAGGCTGATCTTGAACTCCTGACATCAAGCATGCTTCTCAGAGTTCTAGGGTTACAGACTTGAGTCACTGCACCTGGCCTAATTTATTATTCTTTGAGTTGATTTGGCTCTGGTATTAAAATGTCTCTCCTTTTAAATAATGCCATCCAGTTTTCCATTTTTGTTTGTCTTTTGATTACATTTGAAAAGTATTTAAATAGCAGTTACTTTTCTATTATAAAATAATGTAGATTCACTATAAGAAATTTGGAATATATAATAAAGAATAAAGAATATTAAAATCTCCTGTAAACTCAATACCCAGAGAACCACTATTAATATTTTAGTGAATGTCTTTCAGGTACTTTAAAAAATGTGTATGTGTTATGATTTTAAATATTTTTATTTACTCTTTTTTATAAAAGATAAACCTGTACTTGAAAATGGAGAAAAAACCTAACAAAAAAGAGGAACTGACACTAGTGAATAATGTTTTAAAACTGGCTACTAAACTGCTAAAGGTAAGAATAGAATTGAAAGTGGATATATGTAGAAAATGCTGTTCTGTTGTTGTATTTACTCTTCTGTTTATAGATTCTACCATGTGTTTGGTTTTCACTATTACTCACATCATTTCCAAATTATATTTGGGCACATTCATGCAATTTATATTTTCTCATTGTAAAAGTAATCCAAATAATTCTTTGGAAATTATATATTAAGACTTTTGATAATATCTAGGCTATTGTAGAGAGGTTGGCATCTTTGGAAATTTATACCTTCTGGAACTTAAAATAGATAGCAAAAAAAGAAGATGATGTTATGTTGGGAATTTTTTCATTGTTTGTTTCTCAGAGTAGTCTTCTGCTTGGCCTGAGTTATCTTAAAAAGTAGGAATACATAATCATCATGGTAAGTATGTATCATCAATAAACACTTATTTTTTAAATCAATTTTCATAACAATCAAAAGGAACATAATTTTGATGTATTTTTTTTCTAAAAGCAACAAGAGAAAAAAACTGGTGTATTTGGTCTCAAAATAATAACTCTTAGGGGATAATAAAATATTTTTACCACTGCTTTACAGTATTAGTATGTACAGTATTAGTAATGCTTTTCTTTCTAAAAAAATATTTTTTTAAATCTCAATTTCTATAACCAATTGAATATAATTCTTAGAGTTTATAAGTTTTCAGAGAATGGTATAAAATTTGTCATCTCTCTGTGTTACAGTTAATTCTTCAGTCAACTAAAAAGTATGAAGGGAGTATAGACTGTATACCTCACAATATATTAGGCATTGAAAGGGTTCAGAGGAGGTGTGTACACCTCACAGTATATTAGGCATTGACAGAGTTCAGAGGTGTGTGGGGACATAATAAAATAAGCAATTACAAATGGCCTTCTTTTTCAAATCCCTTTAAGTATCCTGAGGAAGATGATGACATTTAAACAATAAGATAATACAGGCAAACTCCATTTTTTAACCAAATACTCTATGGGGAAAATACCTTGAATTGATAGTTTTATGTTTACTTGATACATGTATATTGGATATCTTTAGAGTGTAGGCACTGTGCTAGACAGGAGGCCACGAAGATGAGACTTAATGAGCAGCTACAATCTCAGAGTAGTGAGAAGTATAAAAATAACTAATACGAAACACAACAGTGTGATCCTTTTTGATCATACGTAGTCTCCTAGTCTGAAACCTGGAACTAAATGTTGATTGTACCTTCTCTTTCACTCTTCACAGCCAAGAAATTCTCAAGTCCATTGATTCAATTTCTTAAGTATCTTCTAATTCATCCCCTCTTCCCTGTCAGTACTTTCCTTTGTGAGACCGTGTCTCTAATGTGAGCTTTTGATACACTGAATTCGTTATAGATGTTCCTGCTTCTGATCTCATTGCTCTCTGATCTATCTTTTGCATTGCTGGCCCAGTGATCTTTCTCACATGCCTGTGTGATGCGCTATTTCCTTGTTTAAATTCTTTTAGTGTTAGTCCATTTGTATAATTTGCCTAAAGAATAACCCTTACTTAAGTACCCAGCTTTATAAGTTTAGAGTGTTTCCTCCCTTGTACTTGGGCTCTAACAATGCTGAGCAACCTGTAGCAATTCAAATATGCCATGTTCTTACATGTTTTACAGAATACCTACAAAGTTTCAGGAGCACCTTCCTCTATGGTCCCACTGCTTTTTAGACATATCTCTGTAATGGGACTCTCATATTTTAATTATTTGTTTGCATGTCTCCTAAACTGTAAGGTCCTTCAGTGCAGGGACTAAATCTTCTCAGAGACTAGCACATGGCCTGGCATGTATGTAATAGAACTTTAAATGTTTGACTCAATCAACTAATTGATTAATTCACATATTTGAAAATGAATTGGCTGAAAGGGGAGTTTTTACATATTATTAATATTGTCAGAAAATTGGCTAATTAAATTTCTAATTCTTCTGCAAAAAGATATTGAGCTCTTTGAATTTCTTTTCTAGCTTTTGTACTACAAAATGTTCTCTAACCTTATAGCTACTAACTAGACCAATACTTTACTCATTCATTTATACTCTGTCATTCATTTGGTACAGAAATTAGAGTTATAAACTTATTTATAGAGTTCTTTTAAAGAAGTCACTTTTGCCTTAAAAACATTAAAACTACTAGTAAAATTTACTTATTTCAAGTTCAACTAAGTTTATCCTTTCTAAAAGTATCCATAATTTATAATTTTTGGAAAAATATTTTTTTAAATTCTCATATATTGCCCTGAATTAATTTAACTGATAATTCTTGTTGAATCTGGGGCTAACTTTTTTCTCTTCTGCTAGGAATTGGACAGTCCCTTTAGATTATATGGGCTTACAATGAATCCTCTGCTTTACAACATCACCCAGGTTGTCATCCTTTCAGCTGTTTCTGGTGTTATCAGTGACTTGCTTGGATTTAACTTAAAGGTAAGATCTTGCACATATTTTTTATTTCTGTACCCTGTTGCATTTTTGCAACACTTATTTTACCTTCTCACTCTTTTGAGATCTCACATGCACAGTAATGGAGTCGTTTTGATAAGATTATATATAATTAGTGAAAAAAATTTCACATTTAACTTCAAAGAATGATATATATTCATGGCTTATACTGATGGAACTGCTATTAATAATTTGGAACAGTATTTACTATTAATATATTACAAATAAGACTTCTTGTGTAGGATAAGTAGAGGTATTTATTTTTACTCATATAATTTGAATCTAATTTAGGTGATTAAAAAGAAAAAGAGCCCTATTTCTATTTTGGGCCAAAAGTTATATTATTTATCTAGATAGCAATATATAGATCCTCCAATATATGCACAACTGTTAGTAAAGTGTAGGATAATCATATTAAACAAGTAGTATGTGCATATTGCCACTTCCCAATAAAAGAAAGCAAGAGAAATCTGATTTTTACTCCTTGTTTGTGTTTATGGTACGTTCTTAAAAATAAAAGGGTAGGCCGGGCGCGGTGGCTCACGCCTGTAATCCTAGCTCTCTGGGAGGCCGAGGCGGGTGGATTGCTCGAGGTCGGGAGTTCGAAACCAGCCTGAGCAAGAGCGAGACCCCGTCTCTACTATAAATAGAAAGAAACTAATTGGCCAACTAATATATATAGAAAAAATTAGCCGGGCATGGTGGCTCATGCCTGTAGTCCCAGCTACTTGGGAGGCTGAGACAGAAGGATCGCTTGAGCCCAGGAGTTTGAGGTTGCTGTGAGCTAGGCTGACGCCACGGCACTCACTCTAGCCTAGGCAACAAAGCGAGACTCTGTCTCAAAAAAAAATAAATAAATAAATAAAAATAAAAGGGTAAAGGGGTTAAATATTAGAACCTGCACTGTTTGTGAATGGAATTTAAACAAAAGGTAGTATTATATGATATAATTTAAGTTTTGATATTACAACTAGCTCTAATGGTCACTACTTCTATTTTTTTTTTCCTCTCTCTAGCTGTGGAAGATTAAATCATGACGATTCAGAAAATAAGATGTAGCCTCTTTTCCAGAATAAGAGTACTGACTAAGCTGCCTGAAAGCAGTCACTGATTCTTTGCTTCAGGAGTCTCAGCTGGGAAATTGAAGTGTTTACATCAGACTTTCTTGTGCAATTCTTATATTTATTTTACTTTTTCACTGTTTTTTTACATTTAGTCTTTATATTTTATTTTTAAGCATTGATGTACTTAATTGTTGAAAGGGTGATGAAACTGATATCCAGATACTTGAGATCCTGGTAATTGCTCATAAATAATTGGCAAAATAACAAATTCTGAAAATAGAAGCCATTACTAAGCACTGTTTCTCCATCAATGCCGTGAACTTGCCTTACTTGATGAAAAGTTCTTTAACTTTGGATATTGCATTGAACTCAGCTAATCAGATACAGCATTTTCTTTGGTAAATCAAGATTCAGTCAGGGTTTCTCTTGAATTATTTTGGAACAATGCCAGGATCTAAACTAATTAAGCTGCAGTTTAAGCACCCTTCAGTATTAATATATACGGTATTACATAACAGGTCAACAAGTGCTCTTTGATGATAAAACTCGTAATAGAGCAATAATTGTAAATGGTTACCATACTGTAAGATATTTTGATAAAAATTAACTCGTTATAATTGTATTTATTTGAAACACTGGGCTGTTTGCACAGCTCCAACTGTGCATGCTCAAAATGTGCACTTTTTAAAATTGTTACTTTTAATGCGTATCTTTATATGGAATATGTTATAGTGTACTAGGGCATGATATGGTATCCTTTTGAGTGAGGTATGTACTCATCTCACAAGTGAAGTGCCTATTGATATTACTAAAGTACATTATGTTTACTCAAGTAAAGTAATTTTCTCCCTATGGTACACTATAGTGTATGCTATTCATATACCACACTCAAATGAACAACTTAAGAATAAGGTTAACAACCAATAAAATATTCCTCTGATTATTAGTTATGAAACTATATCCAAATTTTCAGAAAAGATAGCTTCAGCTTGCAAATCTATCCTATAAACCTATCTGGTGCATTCTCCCCACCCTACCCCCATTATATAAGGGCTATTTTAGATGCTTTTAACCTAGAAAGTTAACCTCCCCTCCCTGCCAATAATTTGCCAAGTGTCCAGTGAGAACTTATCATGTTGGCATGTTAGGTAAATAGGGCGAATATGATAGTATCTTACATTGGGCCTTGATTTAAGTTGTTATATTTGTACAATCAATAGTATTTTAGGAATTACATAAAACATAAAATGTTTTTGTGATTTTTTTTTTTTTTTTTTAGCTGAGCATCTGGTTTTCTAAAACAAAGAATTCATTTGAAACAATCTAGAATTTTCTTGGTGCAAAGTGTATCATGTTGAATATCCTCACATTTTTACCATGTTTTAAGAAATTTAAAATAATTAATTGTAAATAATTTATTTGATTGGTGCAGTTCTAATCCCCAAATCATAATCTTAAAATCAGGAATGTGTGGAGAACAGAGCCATGTCATATCACTTTGCTCTTACCATTCCTTTCCATCAGCCTCAATTTCAGCCTCATTGTGTAGTGTAGTTTCTTCCTGTAGAAAACAACAGAAAGCATTTTGTTTTATTTGCCTATGTTGTAATATGTTTAATAATGACCAAAGTGCATTCTGAGTTTTTTCAAGGAATGTAATACTGGAGCTTTAAGAACATACTTACTTTCTCATGTGAAAAATTAGGCTTTGTCTGATATGTTTCTTCCTCCTCTATTGTCTAATGTTGAGGTTGTTTTTAGGAATTATATTTTATAAACTTTTTCAAAATAAGGTACATACCTATAAAGAACTTAACATTTTGCACAGAATTTATCAAATATATTTTGAGAAAAAAGTACAGCATGAGTCTGTTAGGAATAAAAGATGAAACTATTGTATCTCACACAAAAAAACCTTATGTCAGAATGGAAAACATATGGAAATATTTTTGAGAAAAGTAGCTGAGTATAATAGTTTAGGAAAATGCTTGTTTTAGATTCAAGTTCAACTTAACTTAGAGTTGGGAGTTGACTTATTAAGTATAGTATACCTCTCAACGACTTATTAATATTAATAATATGCTGAATTATGTCATTAATGTGGACAGCAGTAGAATACTAAAAGGAAAAAGTTGTCATTTTAAGCAATTTCAGAACATTAACTGAACTATTTTCAAAGCAGAAAAACTGATATTGCTACCTGTAAGAGTATCATGAATGTACAAAATTGAAAGAAATTGTAACATATCACATAATATAGAGAAGGCAGTTCAAAAAATAGAACTGTGGCAGATGTGTGTTAACTGTTGTTTCTTTGCCACATGTGTTGTATTTGAAAGTTTGAACAACAAGTTTAAAATAAAACATTCTATGATTGACAATTTCTTTTAATTTTCAAGTAATATACATTTCTATGGTAATTTTGTTTACAGTAGCATAAACTTTAGTTATAACTGTTATATTTGGGGGGGGATGAAAATAAATTTTTTATAACTTCCCAACATTTCAGATTTTGTTATGATTCTCAGAACATGAAAGAATAATACATACACACAGCTTTTCATCACCAAAATTCTATTAATCACTAATGTTTGTTTACTTGTTTGTTTTTGAATACAGTAAACTGGCTGTGGCCTGAGATGTTAAAACTCATTGTCAGAAGGATAGTGGTGGTTTTTTTGTTTTTTTTTAAGGTTAAGAAGTAATTTTTTTTTATTATTATTATTTTTATTTCGGCATATTAGAACTCTAGAGGAAAAAGTTGGAAACACTCTCCTAGACATCGGCCTGGGCAAAGAGTTTATGAAGAAGTCCCCAAAGGCAATCACAGCAGCAACAAAAATAAATAAATGGGACATGATCAAACTACAAAGCTTCTGCACAGCCAAAGGATAGTGGTGTTTTTAAACAAATGATTTTGCCACATGAATACAGCATGAGAGACTAATAGGGTGGTTAAGCATTCTAATATTTCTAATATATGATTGGTACAAGTGTTCACAGTGTTTAAGTTAATTAGGGATTATTAATTGAAGTGCACTTTCAAGCTTACTTTAAGCTTAGAATTGTCTCTTTTAATGAATCTCCCTTCAGACTTTAAAATAAAACAATATGACTGGCAACTCTTTCATTTGCTCTATCACTTAGAACACTATTCTCAAGCTTTTTCCTGTCAAACCTAAATAAAAGATACCACAAGTGCTTAACAATAGCACTAGCTCCCCAGAGTACTTCCTGGAGAGACTGAGAGGCTCTTAGGGATAGGAAAAAAACAGGTTTTTTTTCCTACTCTCATACACCATTCAACATAACACTTCTGTCACGAGATTCTCCAGTGGACACCAACTGGGTGTTTTATAACTTAACTAAATTCTGACACTATCTGGGATAGCGTCAGATCTCACAGGTTGAGAGCTCAGTCCTGCAAGACTGCTCCCATGTCAGATGCTAGTCACAAGCCCCAGGTTGTGATCTGTGCTTCTGACCCATGGCTGTAAGTTGGGGTTCCCATGAAACCCTCTTTGAGTTCAGTTGATTTGCTAGAGCTGCTCATAAAACTCAGAGAAACACTTTTACTGGTTTGTTAGAAAGGATATCATAAAGGATACAGATGATGGAACAGATGCATTGAATTCTCTTCACATATGGAAAGCAATATGGAGATACCTTAAAGTGATACAAGCGGATCTACCATTTGATCCAGCAATCCCAATACCAGGCATCTACCCAAAAGAACAAAAGTAACTCTATGAAAATGATACCTGCACTCGAATGTTTATAGCAGCACAATTCACAATTGCAAAGATGTGGAAACAACTGAAGTGCCCATCAATACATGAGTGGATTAATAAAATGTGGTATATGTATACCATGGAGTACTATTCAGCTATAAGAAACAACAGTGACATAGCGCCTCTTGTATTTCCCTGGCTAGAGCTGGAACCCATTCTATTAAGTGAAGTATCCCAAGAATGAAAAAATAAGCACCACATGTACTCACCAGCAAATTGGTATTAATTGATCAACACATAAGTGGACATACAGGAATAACATTTCTCGGGTGTCGGGCAGGTGAGGGCGAGGGGGCGGGTATATACACATACATATTGAGTGCGATGTGCACCAACTGGGGGATGGACATGCTTGAAGCTCTGACTCAAGGATGGCGGGAGGGAAAGGCAATGTAGGTAACCTTAACATTAGTACCCCCATAATATGCTGAAAAAAATAATAGTAATTCCCTTCGCATAGCACAGTGTATAGAAGAGGGGGCGCAGAGCTTTCGTGCCCTCTCCAGGATATGCCACCCTTCAGGAACCTCCCCAGAAATTCTCCAGACTCCGTAGTTCAGGGGTTTTTATAGGGGCTTCATCTTGTAGGCATGAAGGTTAGTAATTCCTTTCCCAGCAGCCCCAACCCAGGAGCCCACCAAGAGTCACTTCATTAGTATAAAAGACACTCCTATCACCCAGGAAATTCCAAGGGATACAGGAGCTCTCTGTGTCAGCTGCTCCTATCACTCTGGAAATTACAAAGTTCTTAGGAACTCTGTGTCAGGAACTAGAGTCAAATAACTAAATATTAGAACAAAATATTCTCCTAGCACTTCTATCACTGAGGAAATTATAAGGGCTTTAGGAGTTCTGTGCCAGGGACTGGGAGCAGAGACCAACATATATTTCCTATTATTTTATAGACGTAGTACAGGTATACTTTCAAAAAAGTATTCCCCAAGTGATTTAGAAAATTTGTCCTACTTGCCACACCTCAGCACCTTGAGAATTATTGTCTTAAGAGCAAGAATTTTATAGAATGTAAACTCCATGAGAACTGTATTTACCACTGTATTCCCAGCACCTAAAACAGTGCCTAATATATAGAAGAATCTCGTTATATTTACTGAATGAATGAATGACTTGCATCAAATAGGACATTAGACACCACCCAGTCCAAAGTCCTCATTTCACCACATGTGAAAACAGGCCACAAAAGAGGTTAAGAAGCTTGCCCAAGATAGTACAGCTAGTTAATTATTGAACCAAACTCTCTTTATTCCCTTGGCAGGTTTATATTCTGTAATAGTATCTTTGTATTAGCATTGGGCACCTCATGACTGATCAAAATTCTTACTCATGTTCTGGGGAAAATGAAGATACTGATAAATTATCTGTCCATATTTGTAGCTAGGTCATATACAAACTAATAAGCCTTGGCAATAGGAAAAAGTCAGAATTCATCTTGACATCTCCTTATTCAACTCTCTGCAGTATGCCCTGTTGGAAAGAACATATGCTTTGGCATCAGACTTCTTTTACAATCTTGAGCAAATTACTTAACCTCTGTGAGCTTTGGTTTTCTCAGCTGTAAATTACTGACAGTAACACCTATCTTACCGGGCTATTAGGAGGATTAATGAGATAACATATGTAAAGTACCTAACACAGCAGCTGACTTGGTTCTGAAGAAAGATTGCTTCTCTTCACCTTTCCTACTAAGAAAAAGAAAATACGTAATGGCCTAGGACAATTAACAAAAAATTCCAAGTTAAACGGCTCATAAGATATCATATGCATCCCCACCAAATATGAGAACTAATTAAAAATCGTGCTTCATGTAAATTATCATACATGAATTCTTTTACAAGAAGTTGACATTTAATTCCCTTCACAATGCAAGTACATAAATTGGGAGAGTTTTCTCCTTTTGTAAGCCTACATATTACTGTATATCCAATTATGAACAATTTTGCTACATACTTAGGTGCATATTCCATTCATATCTCTTTTTAGATTTCTATCCTTTATGTATGGATACTAACATCACTCTAGAGTATTTTTATCTTTTACATACTCTCAACTCTCATCTTTAAGTTGTCTGCTCCTGTTCCTACTTTGAGTTGCAGGAGAGCATCTGACTTGATTTTCTATAAATCATGCTTATGGAGGTATTACTGGAACCTCTGAGTTCTATATTTGGCAATTTTTAAAAAAGTCTATTTCATGTTCATTTATATGTTCCCTATAAAGGCTCTTCCAAACCTCCTTTATCATCCTCCAGCTCCTAATCTCTCTCCTCCTGTAACTATCCATATTTTTTACCTCTCAGTCTACTGAAAAGATAGAAATCATGATGCATGAATTCTGCCGTCTTCTCCCTTTTGCAGCTCTGTGGAGGAGGTGCTGCTCTCTGAGGCCAACTCCCTCCGTGCCCAGGATTCTGTCCCTGCCCACCCAGGTGATGCCTCAGTTTTTCCTCGCCATCATCTGTAACCTTTTCCTGATTTCATGTTATAAATCATTTAGATTTCAATGAAAGGTACTTGAACCCAGAGTATGAGGGAACTAGTTAAGGTTCATAGGTGGGACGGAGCTATTGTGTACTAGATGGCATTGTCAGGGTTTGCCACACTCTCAACAAAGCAGGAAGTTGTTTCTACATGTTCACCAAGCTTTGCTGGACTGTACTGCGTTTCTCTCTGGGCTGAGTGGGTCCGTGATTGATGTCCTGCCCTAAAGCAGCCAGTCATTTTATGGGCCTGCAAGCAGCCTGTGTGGCACCGGCTGACATGAGAGCTTTGCCCAACTCTATCCTTGATGGTGACTTGCTGACTCAGAGTCTCTAACTGCAAATTTGAGTTCAGGACACAATGTCAGCAGGCAGAGTTGCTAGAAAAGCAGAGACCCAGAAGAAGCTATGACTTAAGCAAAGCAATAAAGTAGAGAGGAGGTAGGGATAGTGGAGAAGGGAGGAGAAACTAGCAGAAACTGCCCAAAACTGGCAGAGGCAGAGAAATTGATAGCTTGGCAGCTGTGCTGGTGATCATTAGAGCTAGTCTCAGACTGTCTCAGCCTCGTCTTGTATTCTGGGTTGTGAAGCCAGATGTCTCCATTTATCCTTAACAATAAATCCTTATCACTCGGAGTAACCAAATGAAGACTCTCGACCTGAAGGGGCCTCACGCAAAATGGCTGTTCAGTGTGAAGCCATTTTTCTTCTCTGACTGGCTCTTGCTCTGTATCTGTTCATTCATGTCTATTTAAGTGCAGTACTTGGCTATCTACACTATCTACACTTCAAACGTACTTAGGCCTCCTATGTCTACAAAATACAGTAGTTACCAACTGCAGTGTTTTGCTTATTCTTTCCTTTTTATAAAGTTATTCAATCCTGTGTATCTAACAAACGATCTGAAATGTAACTTGGTGGCTTGTTTTTGTCTTTAAAGCTAAATTCAACTCTTACTGCTAAATTTAGTAATTGACTTTCTGTAGTTATTTAATAATTTCTTTGACAGGTTTTCAGGAGTTTGGGGGTTGTATTTTAATCTTAGTCAAATTCTCCTACAAGTTTTGATCAATTATTTATGTGTGGGAATTTCTTGTTTTCCCAACCTTGGTACTAAGAGTTGTGCTTCAAGGCAAAACAGCCTTACTGCCAAAGGCTATGACCAATTTGCATCCCTTGAGATATATAATCAGTATTTGTAAATGCATTTACTTGTTTTTGCCTAGAAATTCAGACTTTGATTTAGCAGATATTCTCCCTGCTATTTATATCCTTCCTCTTGCTATCAGTCAGAATTGCTGTGTCAGGTTAGTGGTGCTGAAAGATTCTCACAACAAGAATTCTGCTGTTTTGGGAAAGATGTTAGGGTAAGAGGTC